ATTATTGTATAATAGTACTTTCAGAAACTACTAAATGATGAATTTCTGAAAATATATTTCTTCCAGAAGGAATTCAATAGCACCTTAAAAATGTAAGAAAGAAATTCTGTTATTAAAGAACTAGCTATTAAATTCAATACATTATCAGTAATAATGTCTGCGACAATGTAACGTTATAAAATTCAAGTACAAATGCAAACTTAACATGACTTTTCGTAAAGAAATCTAAAGACATAACGATAATTTGTAATATAGTTTTAAGATAATTTTAGAATAATTAATAATCATTATATCGATTTTTTTCGAAGTAAAAGAAAATAATCCGTGTCATGTAATCTTTTCAGCTACGCCTCCTGCCAAAATTTACATAATAGTGCACACAAATCAGTAAATAAAATTTTTAAGATTATAATTTTGGAATTAAAATAGTCGCCATCCGTCTAAATACAAAATAACTGAAATCGATAAAATGATTTTTCTTGTTCTTGGATGCATTTTTAATGTGATTTGTTTATACTTTGAAAGTAAAAGCAATATCTAAGTAAATATTAAAACCGATAGGCTTTTAATACCCTTTCTATTTTTAATAGGCATAGAGAAGGGTACATACTTGTGCCTTACATATAAATATATTCTTATATTTATTAACAGTAACAAATACTATATAATAAAAATAAAACACTAATGAAAGTCTTAAATTGCATTTAAGTTCAAAAAAAGAAATTTATAAATTTGAAAAACATGCTCTTACGTGCATAAAACAATAAAAAAAATTCAAACAAAAATTAAAAATAAAAAATGGGAGACTTTACAAATTACACTAACTTTCACCATAGTAGAAGAAATATTGAAAAAAAAATTATACTGTTATTTTAAGCTTACATTATGTAAAAGTTTGCGACTAATTTAAATTTATTCTAATTTAGGCTTTTTAATGAAAGTGCCACCTGTCTCAAAAGTCACGATCGAATTTAGAATAATACCTTCATTTATTAATCTGACCCCTTCCTGTTGTTTGTAGATTTATAAAAATGTCATTTTTTTGCCGTCAGAAGTAAATAAATAAAAACTCACAACAGAATAACGAATAAGAAATTATTTAATCTTTATGTTCAAATATATTTAAAATTACTAATTCGCAAAAGGATGCAACAGATATTTTAAAATCAGAAAATCATTTTCAGGACATGGCGCATTGTTTTATTAAATGTTGTCACACATTGGTTCTATAACTGTATTACTATGATCTGCGATACCTAGTTCAGTTTGGTAAATGATGATATGCCACAGATGATTTTAGGCCAAAGACAGCCAAGTTATAGCAAGCATGGTCGCAAAAGGTGACCCTGTGTGCAGTGCAAGAAACGCGAAAACACATTGTGTTTAAAATTTTGAGCTTGAATTTGTGAAACTTTCTGGCACTCGAGAAGTTCCGTCTAAAACAAAATAAGGACTGTAGAGTATCCCAAAGTGATATTTTACATTATTTAAGATTAACAACAGGAAACCTATTAAATAACATATAGGAATTCTTTTGTTTTTAATTCCGTATCAGCTCTCCAGTGAGGATAAACTAAATAGCAAAGATAAGCACTTGTTTCCTTTGAAGCCCCGTAAATATGTTTTAAACTATTGTCAAAAATCTTGCAAGGTTAACAGCGTATGAAATATGAGGACGGTGTTACAGACTTTCAATATATGCCACAAACTAATGAATATCAGATGAAATGCGACATATGATTGTAATTAGCTTTACTGCTTATTTTTTTATTGAAATCATATCCGCTTTTGTCGGCGTTTTTGTAGCGTTGCAGGCATGTTTTGTTTCCAATGGCTGCCATTTTGAATATCTAGAAGTGACACGAAAAACAAAGTTAATAATTTTGTTATTAGTTTCTCTGATGTGAAAGTTAAAACAGTATAAATATTACTTTGATAAATCCGGTATATATTGAAAAGTGACAATAAAATAACCTTATTATTTTTTTTATTTTATTTTCTAATAATGTGTCCTCCAACAGCAACATTCTCCCGAAATTGCACTATTTCCTCCCATTTTTCTTATTTCCTTTTCCACAATCCAAAATTTCCTGAAGATTTTTTTTCACTGTTACCTTGTCATCTCTACATGAACTGTCTTTGACAACTTCAATATCATATTTTACTCAATATATTTTGTTAATTTAGTAACATGGGATACTTCTAATTTTAAGTAAGGTTATTTACTTCTGCAATAGTCATCTGAAAATTGTTGGTATTTTTTATTTATAGCATGTGTATTTGTTTGTATTACTTATTTGATGTATATGGTATGTATTGTTATATGATGAATTATTAAAATTGTTTAATTTTAAGTTGACCTTGAAACCAGTTTCCTTAATAAAGAAAGCGGTGAAGGACTAATTAAACTCTCAAATTTCTTTATATGAATTACTCTCTCAGTGCTGCCCCGAAATCACTTCGCTTGTAATAGACCTAGTACATAAATACCGCATTTTAATTGTTCGTGCCTAAAATTGTTCATCTATAAGGTTTCGCAAATTTAGGCTTTGTATAAATAGGTGATTCTCGAACATAAAGCAAAACCCGGTAAATAATTTTTTCATTATTCTGTCCTGAATTTTTCAGCAGTTTATTTACAAATTATTCATTAACCTACAGAGATAAGCATGAAAAATGATTACTTAGTTATTGTTAAAGCAAATCGTTACTTTTGGATGTCTAGAGAAAAGCAATTAATTTTGACGAAATTACTCCGAAGGAAGGGTCTCTAAGGTAACCGAAAGTGCAAAAAAATATTTGCTCTTTTTAGAATTAAACTTAAGATTAATGCGAGGTAAATGTTGCATCTGAATTTCGTGTACACCCTGAGAGAACATTGGCTGAATAATGTATTTAATATTTTTGGCACACAGGTAAATGGCTGTTTCTTTTCCGATGTGCATTTGCGCATAGTTAAACTGTGGCTGGTGTCTACCTGGATGTGGTAAGTACAAGATAAGTAAATTGCTCTGTTCTCTTCAGCCATAGAAATGGCAAAATGATTCTACGTTTCTGCTAGTTGTTTGCAAACAAAATTTTTAAGTGCTATCTTTTTCCGAGACACTGTAGTGAAAATTCTGCATGAGGCTCATTCTAAGCACAACGCTCTGAAGATACGAAATACAAAATGCGGACTCCGGATAAAATAGTCCTCGATTCAGGAAACGCCATTCGCTACAATATCGAAAAAAGAAATAAAACAAGACAAAAATAAAAACATATGAAAATCCGAAACACAATCTATAGCAGGCATTGTCTAGTTCTATAATTTTACTCTACTTGCGAGCATCTTCCGCGGACAGATCGTGACCCGCTTTTCAGAAATTTGTATAAATGTTTTCAGGGAACAAATTATTTACAGCCGCTGACGAATTCCTCTTCGATTACAACATTGTTACTACGTTCACAGTTCAGCAGCTTTCTGCAGGTGTCAGTATGCAAACACCAGTACGGTGATGCAGTAATCCTTAAACAAGTGTGGACAGATCCTTGTCATGGTTTGAAAAGGTGCATATCCCAAAGGCAAGTTATACTTTTATTGAAAATGAAGAAACAGCAAAGAAAGCCGATTCTTCAAAAGAAAGATATACATCCATCAGTGAGTAAGAAAAAAGCAGCACTAGGATCATCCACAGAATGTTCAGATCAAGCGTAACAGACACTATCATCTTCAAGTCTTTCTCAAAGAACAATCTACGTGGACATCAGCCAATGTTCAGCTGTATTCTCAGAACGACCTTTCACTTTCAAGAAAACCATATTCTTGGTAAAGATCACTCGAAGCGTCGTCTCAGAAGAGGTTCATTTGTCAGCTTCTTCAAGTTCTAATCTACCGAAACTTGTGATATGTTTCAATTTCTAATTGGTCCGCGACGGGGCCTAATCAACGTCAGGCTCGTAAGCACCTTTGAGAAACATATTTTACTGTGTTATGTGTGTAAATATACATATACATACCAGTATATATGTATATATACATTTTCGCCTTCTAATTAGGACACCACAATACATATGTACATGAGGCAGGGGGACGGGAAGAACAGGTAGGTGTTCCAAGGAGAATCTGCATTCGTATTTCTGACGGTAATTGACATTCGAAACAGTTGGAATAAATAATTAGAATGCCAGTAGAAATCAGCTCTTTGTTTGCAGAAGTATCCTCCCTGTGTTTCGTTATTTGTTAGAATTTAAACATGAATGCGATTTGAAGAAAATCTTTGGAACCATCCTGTTCAGAAACCGAGGACCCTGTACATAATTTGATGCTCACAAAGCGTCCTTGCTTGTTTTCAGAATTTCGGAAAAATCAACAGTTCAAAAAAATTAAGTCTCTTTAGGCAAGCACTTGGATGAAATAGAAGTATTAATTATCATAAGTTCCTAATTAATTAAAACAATTACAAAATGTGAGTATACAATTTGAACAAACATAACTTGCTTTTGAAAAGTATTGTTTTGTTCAAGCAATTTTTTACTGCTAAGAATATTTTTATGTAATAAAAATCTAGTATAATTAGTTAAGAATAAGTGTAAGAAAGCTATCAAACTTCGAATATATTCGAGTTTAGTTGTGTGAATTGACATCTTAGTTTTTAATCTCATTATTTTGAAAATTTTATGCTGTATTAAATATGTTCTTTTATACATAGATTTATGTACAAAAACCACTTATTAATTCCTTACATGAAGTGCACAAAGCATGATATTATTCATGACAATATATTGTAAATGGCTTTTCAGTTAACTTTTTTAACTACACCACAAAGCGATACGGCTTCTTACAAAATACATTAACTCTGGGATGATTTAAAACAATTAAGTAAGCAATTTAAAATGATTAATTAATAAAAAAGGAGTTTTTCATAAATATCTAAATTATAAAACTAAATATTTTCTATTCATATGCATTATTAATGCTGTGGTGCCATTTAAAAAGCATTAAAACAGTAATTGTCTTCTTTTTTTTTTTTTTTTTTTTTTGCAAACAGTAACTGACTTTTAAACGAATAGTTTCAAACCCACAATTAAGTGTCATTTGATGATACTTAAAATTTAATTATGCAAAGTTACTAATTACGTTTTATCGCCTTTCTTTGATAAAAGAAATTATGTTTTCGAAATCATGAAATTTCTATTCTTATTCAATAATTCTGTAATTGAAATGAGCACAAAATTAACGATTTTCTTAGGACAGTGAAGAATAAGTAGGAATATGTCCTTTCTAGGCTAATTGACGATAAAGGAGATCAAATTGATAGTAAACTTATTTCTAAAATCAATTTTGTGCTTTTTTTTCCAATTTCTCTGTCATATCCATTTACGAAAGATCTGCTCTTACAACAATTCTTAACCTATTCTCAGCCGCGACTGCACAATTCTTTAGAACTCAGACAAAGCTAATTTTAACATTAGCCGTTTAACGGCCTATAAGGCAAGAAAAAAATTTTGTGCATATCATTTCTTCTTTGAATAATGTAGTAATACTGTACCATTTTGTACAATTAATTTTCTATAATTTGTACTTGAAGGTTTCTTAAATCCATAAACTTTTGTGCTCACGTAAAGATGTTAAAGAGGAAGAAGAGGCGAAGAATCTTATAGGTAAAAGAAGTGGGAGAAGAGGTTAATATGTCCCTCCGGTTGCGGATAATAACAGTTTGCCCAATACCCCCACCCTTAACGAGCTTTCTGTAATGTGCGACCTGTGATTCTTATCATGATATGTTATACCACAATATGCTGCTCATATGAACGAAAACGGAGCCTGACTGGCATGGAACCACACGTCGACAGAATGTCTCTCGGTTTCATGGGGTTGCTACAATGATGACAACGCACTATTGGTGTTTTCTGTACAGGAACTGAGTGTGGCTAGAGAGGTCCGCACGACCTACGTTAAGCGAAGGGAGCTGCTGTCCTATGTACACATCCTGACGACGTAGGCACGCAGACGGCGGGATTGCAGGAAAAGTGGCAGATCCAAGCACGTCTGAAAGAAAAAGAAAAAAATGGAAAAGTCTGAAACTTTACAGAAGGTTCTGTTGATTAGTTGCACTGAAGATTAGTTGCATACAAGAAGCAGCATATAAACATACATGACAGTTCTTTTATTTTTCATAAATATTTAATACCATAACTACTTTATATGCAGTACCACCAAATTTGTTTAAACACTTATTGAAGCGTTTACATTTATCGAAGGACGAGCATCACTGCACCTTCCTTAATAAATACCTGTCCGACTTTTGATAATCAGAAGTGCAATGTAGATCCGTCTCCTAGCCGTGCACCCTGGCAACGTAGAAATAAAGCTAAATGATCTACATCGGCATGTGTCACTTACAGAGTTCTTCACTACGTGTTCTCCAGTGGAATACTAAACGAGGAATCAAAAATTAGTACAGTGAAGCTTTTAGGAAAGACGTTACTGAGAGGAACAGTCATCAATAAAAGACTAACTGAACGTTTGACAATCCTTTATGGTCCAAAACGAAATCTAGTGCTATCTTTAGTCCTCTTATTGTCCATGATTGCCTTAGAACTTCTACATGGAATGAACATAATTTGTAAAATTGTGCAACCTTTATGAGGAAATGGATGTCTCACATCTGACTCGTTGCCCTATGCATGAACACTCTGGGAGAAATACTGGGAGGTGAGACACAAAATAGATTTATAAATTATACCGTGGACTCTTTTTTAGTTTTGCTGTTCTCTTTCAGCTTGGCTTGTTCAGTCTACACTTGTCTTTGTAATCTGCCATTAGAAACAAAAACGTTTGATTACCATTGCTTTCTCGCAGACATTTTCATCAAAATAATGTTTAAGAAATAATGATTCAGAATAGTAATTCTCAAATTTGGAGAATGTACAGGATGCGGCTTTTAACGTTATCTATTTTTAAAGTAAAATAACCCGCTTAATACATTTAGCAAAATCACAAATTAATACGTAAATCAGTAAATCAAGGATTTGTATTCACAAACCGGGCCTCGAATGGAGATGACTGGAGTCATGAATGCAATGCATTATAGCATTAAAGCCAACTCCTGATGTATAGCATAATTAATGTAAGCAAGAGAGTGAGATAAAACATGGATTTGGAGATATCCCATAAATACGTCTGTTTTTTTATGGGATATTTGGTTTATTTGTCCATAATTTTCTTCCGTGATTTTGAACACGGGTGATTGACTCGGATTGTTTGGACATGGACGTTTCATGACATGGACGTTTTCGTGATTTTCTCTGAATTAAACCTAAATATAAGCAGCATATGCTTGGAAAATCCTCCATGAAACCTTACTCTCCACAGGCAGATTTTTCATAATCATATAATAGATTGATATTACATGACAGTAAAATGTTGAATTTTCAGTTAAAAAATTTGAGAAAAAAGATGCTTAACTCTGATATGTTTTTGAATCATATGTAAAAATTCAGTTGAATAATGTTTTATTTTAAAATTACTTGAGGAAATATATCGTTTAGTTTAAATGCAAATCAGCATTCTGATGAATAATTTTTTATTTTAATATTTCCTTTTATTTGAGGAAATATATCGTTTAGTTTAAATGCAAATCAATATTATCGGATCCTCTAATTTAAAGCGCAAGTTCCACTGGCCGCACTGATCGCTTTATGTTTATGTTATGTTTATGATTGCCTATGTTATGTTTATGATTGCCTATGTTATGTTTATGATGACCTTATATTGGGTCTAACTCAGAAAGTAAAAAGACATCATCTCTTTTCCCTATGATAGCAATCATGATTTAATGCAATCGTAGGGAAAATCAAAATTTCGCTCAAATAGGGGAAATAAGTATTTTTGGCACCAAAACGGAGTATATGTAAAGATTATTCTGATTAATCAAAGAGAAAAATATTTGTGACTGAAAGACATTTCTCTTATAAATAATACGCATTCGATTGTATGATCAGTGTTAGAGAACACCTTTTTCTAAAGAAGCAGATAATGCTTAAATCCTACAGTAAATGCCTATCAGGTAGAAAATGTGCTTAAATGCTATAGCAACTACCTACCAGTAGGATTAGAGGGATGCTGTAGGGTGTTAGAGGATGACGCAGAAGGATCCCCTGCATCCTTTGGGAAGGATATTATAGGGAGTAGCTTCGGGACTGGATCCCACATGCATTTTTCTTTGCTTCTCTACACCACCATTCTGATTACTATTACTCTTACTGTTGTTGTTATCATCATTCTCTTCGTTTTTTGCCTGCTAGAAAAGAAAATAGACTACATTAGGAAATCCTACTTTGTAGGTTCAACTGATTATATGTACCAATACAGTTATACAGAATAGTCAGATTACATCATTTGTGAAATAATAAACATATGCATAACCTATACATTATTAGTCCCAAATATCTGAAACGACTGGATAAAAATATGTTAAGTCATTTCTTTGTTTGATTACCTCGTGCCAATAATTTTTATTTTAGAGAAAATTTCATTCCCAAGTTAAGATGATCCAAATAAATCATTTTTACATCAGAATATGTTAGATCCTTTTTTTCGGGGGGGGGCTTTCCTTTATTTTTATAAATAAGTTTTATTGCCATAGTGTAATTTAAATACGCAAAAGTAAGCAGAAAATTTAATCTTGCATTAAATTTTAAATAATTTTTAGGTCTCAATTTTAAAAATCATTTTTAGGTGAGAATATGGGAGGTTTTTCTTCGGCTTTCCATAATTTTTCTCAATAGTATTTTTTGTTATCACGTAATTTGAACAAGCAAAAAATAGCGGGATATTTAATCTTATATTAAAATTTAATAATATTAATCTTATATTAAAATTTAATAAAAGTAAATTCGATAACATAACATTAATCCCAATTAACTCAAACACATCGAAAGAAATTTTAAAATACAAAATTGTCAACTTATTTTATGAATGCTTTCACTTAGGGTTTACACCATGGTGTGAATCCCGGCATACAAAAGTGAAAACTTACCAGGATGTTTCTCACTAAATCATACTAATATCAGAAGATGTTAGATTCAGAATTTTCCATAGAACACGCAAATGTAAATCATCTCAAATTTCAATCCTACTTTAAAAGATATTTAAATTTCATAGCAGTAAAATACAAATAATGATATTCAAGAAATTTTTAGCAGTGATAGCAAAATATGTTATCTTTTGGCCAAGCTGATGTGAAACACGAACAGCATAAACAGTGTTTGAATAATAAACAAAATTATTTAAGCAACAAGATGTAAAGAATACATTTTGAATTCATCCGCAAATTTAGGCACTGGTATTATTTCGTAAAAAAAAAAAAAAAAAAAAAAAAAAAAAAAAAAAAACACTTGATAGTTGATAGCAGTCAGAAGTCCAATAGGATAAAATATTTAAAATTATTAATAAAAGAGAAATAAAAATGGTAAATTAAGAAATGCAAATATATTTTGATTTCGTTTCTGACAGTTTACCTTCGTTAGCGCTACAATACCTAGCCGAGTGGCTCCATATAAGACAGATATAAAAATTCTGCACGCGCATTTTAATAATTCATACAATATCCGATCTCATCCGTATCTCACTTGTACACTGAATAATTTATAATATTAATCCCTGAATAATTTATAACTGTTGCGCACTGAATAATTTATAACTTGCATCTATTGCCATTTCGTTCATTTTAAAATCGTGACAGTGGGTTCGATTTTAAATTTCAGCAAAAAGAAACACGAATTTGGGGGGGGGTAGATTTAGTAACTTTCAATTCTCTTTCATAAATCTGGTTTTACGTGGATGTTACTACTTCTTTTGAAGTTCTTATATGAGGAAAACAACTTTGATTTTAAACTCTGCAGCAATTGAGATTAATTGAAAAAAATCTTAATTGAGAAACATTATCGGAAGATTTTCATTAATTTAACAGAATAAAATCTTATTAGTTATTAAAATACGTATATACATGCTTAAATTGCATTAAATAAACAAAATTAATTATTAAACTATATACATGCTTAAATTTGCATACTTAACTGTACTTAGCAGAAAGAATATTAGGAAAGTAATTTAAATATGATACGTTTATAAAATCTTTTTTACGGTTGTCTAATTATTCAAAACTTGTGTGCGGAATAAAACAATTGTCAGTTTAGCAATAGCTTAAATTTGTATAGCTGCATTTCTAAAGAACGAAGCTGCTTTAAATGTACTTTAGTCTCACATGTAATATGAACAGATAAAACCATTAATTAATCATTTGGTTTGTTTGAGTGTTCAGTTGTTGATAAAATACGCTACCTGAATACATAACTCCTCCAATTTTTCTTATCTTTAATATCGAATGCCGTAACTAATATACTTTAAGCTGCTTTTCGAAAAGATAAGACAGATAACTTAAGCTTGATTTATTAAAATCAGTTATCTGCATACGTAGCGTCAGTTAAATATATTTAGATAAACTCGTTATTTTTTTTTTTTTTTTTTTTTTTTTGCTCCCACACACTGCTTTGCAAAATGTCTTCTGATTTACCTAACTTGTAAAACTTTTATTGCGAATCATATAAAAAATTCAGTCCATAGATTCAGTCCATAGTTACGTTAATATTATGGAAGTAATGTTGATGTGTGCATTTATAATCACATAAACTAGTAATTTTTCCTAATATTATGTGCCATGAAAAGAAATAAAATACACCAATAACTCATGAGAGTATTAAACTGTAACAGAGATCAGTTTCAACAAAACAGTATCCATTTTGTTCCAAATCACAAATAGAGGAAATTATCAAAATATAGAAAGGCATATTCCGTTCTGTATTGTATTCCGTTCGCTAATCCGTTAGAATATAAAAATCACATCAAAAAGTAATTCTTAATTATTTTTAATTTCTTCTTTAATTAGCTTTGTTTATAGAAATATGCATTCCATTCCTAGACATAAAGAGAGAACTATAAAAATATCGTAACTTTTTTGGGTCGTTTCCAGTCGTTCACAAAGACGGGTCTCAGTCCTGGTAGGTCCGAAGGGGCACGGGGTCTTTCACGGGGTTCTTCTTCCGTCACGCGGCACACGCCGTTCTTTTTCTGCAAGTCATACAACTCGGCTTTTTCTAGAAACAAAAGTTGAATTATTAAATAGAATATTCGAGTTAAGTCATGATGATTCTAAAGAATAACTTCTTTTCAAGATGATGTTCTTCTTGGATTTGTATTTCAATTGGAAAGTGCTGATGATTATTTTATACTGATTGAAAATAATATATTGCTGTGTGGTTTTTCTTATAAATCAAAAACTAAATACATAAAGACATTAGTGTCATTATTAGCCCATAAATTCAGTTTTATGTACTAAACTGACATTTCCATAATTTTCCGAAAAAGTAATGCTTCTCGTCAAAAAACAACTTTTATATAGCATGTTTATTATAAAAAATACTTTTTTATTTGTTAAGATTTATTTTATGCATTATTTTATTTTATTAGAAAACTCATATAATTGAATATTGTCTGAATTGTGTTTAATTTAACACTTTACTTACATTAAAATTAATAATAATAAAAAAAATTAAAGTTTCAGATTTTAAGTTACATCCAAAGGAGCGTTTTTTAACATTTTGTGTGTTACCTTTGTTTATTAAATATCATGCTCTTCTCAATTAAACCAAAAGATTCAGTTCCAGAGCAATATTGTAAAATAATTTTGAAAGGAGCATATCTTTAGAATTTCCGATACAGAGTCTCGCGAGCCTGGAGATAAAAAATGTTTTTTTTTGGGGGGGGGTACAGTGTTGCCATTGCTAGCTTTGAAACCGTTTAGTTTGTTAATCAAAAATTCGTTAAAGTATTATAAAATAGGGCGGAAAATTAAAAATGTAACTGTAATACTTTAAAACTATGCTGTCAATAATTTTATTAGAATGATTTCAGTTGATTTTAATTCTTGAAAATAAAAGCCAGACTTTAGGGAAGACTTCGCAGTTAATTGTTACATCCCGCTTTATAAATTTAAAATTAATTAGAAAATTTTATTCTAAAATATTTAATTTTTCATTTTCTGATGTAAAGTCTTTCTATAATCAAGAAATAATTATGCAATATTTAGAAGAGTACTAACCTTTGATGCTGTTCAGATAAAGGCTCACTTTTCCAAGAGAACTGCGCGACCTGAGCAGGTCACAAAAACCCAACGCTCTCTCATCCGTCCTTAGACCGTTTTTAAGTAAAGGTTGGTATTCATCCAACTGATCTACACTGAGGAGTTGAAAAATAATTAATGTTTTGAGGAAACTCAAATGTACAATAAATTAAAAAGAATTATCATGCTACAGGTGATGGTAACAAATATTATAAATGATGGTAACAAATGTTATAAATGATTATAGCAAACAACTGGCGCCATTATACATATGACACCTCAAACTGAACTACACCTAACCACATTTATAACAAGTTTATGATTAACATATTATATTTTTACCCCAACCTGTATGTTTCCAAACTTTGGGTACAGTTTTTCTATTTCCAGGGTAGGATTTACTTACAAGCGACACAAGCTATAGTTTAGGGCCCCCACTTTCTTGGGTGCCCCCCAAATTAAAATATAGTATAAATAGTGCTAAAATATATTATAACAGACTTATAAAGGAAACCATATCACAAATAGCTTAGGGCCTTCTCGTCTAAATCTGGTTCTGGCTATTTCCAATTTTGAATAAAAACATTTACATATGATTTTGTTTTTGCAAGTATTGGATTTTATATTTGCACATTTTATTTCTGAACTCTCTCTGCTCAATTTTTTTTTTAATTTGTCTATTTTTTCCCAATATTTTTTAAAATTTGTCTCTGTATATTTCATTTGCAGAGGTTCTACAGTGGCCTATAAGATAACTTAAGAATGACATATAACTTAGGGGACACCAAACCAATTGACGTTTTCCCGTGTATAATATGAACACAAGCTAATTTCTCTAGAAATGAGCCCACGAATGCATTCATTTTAAGGCAAATATACATCAGATATTTTACTATAACTCATTTACTTATCAGTTTACATATGGGTATCATATACTCAATTTAAAACATTTTATGGATGAAAAATAATAATAAAAACTGTTCAATAATTTCTTTCTTCCTCTGGTAATTTTAATGATTCAATATGTAATGTAATTTATCTGTTTCAAAAACCCATCAGTTTCTGTAGCATCAAGTTTTTCAGGATTTCCCTATCAGCTTACATTATTATTCTGTTTATGGATATTACTGGATTGATGAGCAAAATATTTAATAGTAAATTGTTTTTATCTTGCGATATTTAGGAATCACTGTTTTATGCTTTTCCTGAAGGCACAAGTTAAAGACTGCCTTAAGTATGCTGTTTAATTTAACTTAGAAATTTAAAAACTCTGAAACGTTATTCTTTTACAAAACGTTTAAAAAGATTCCCAAACAGAAATTGTGGGCATTGTTTTGTAACAAAATTGATTTTTTTAACTTACTTGGTAAAATATAATAAGTACTGCGAGAAAAGTCTACTTAAGTAATGCGGCTTAACTTAATTTTTGGATTTTTATTTCGGCCAAATTCTGAAGTTAACTTTTGATCCCCTTTTCTCGACCTAATTTTGCTGGACGTTTTCACATATACATATTTACAAAGGCAATAAAGTACTCAATTGCAATTTTTTTTCAAAATCTGGAAATTTATTTATTTATTTATATTCTTGCATACCTTTTGAATTATTCTTGCATACCTTTTGTCAAACTAATCGGAAAAGATCGTTCTTTACGAATGATCTTTATTATAAAATTAATTTTTGAAATTTTGTGTTCTAATAGATAAAAAGTAACTTTCCAAACGCAAATATTTTTAAAATTTTTGAAATAATTTATTCAATTTTAGCAATTTTGGCAATTTTTGGTATTCAATGAATTAATTAATATTCAATTAGCACAATAGCTAACAAAGACATATTTTTAGATCAAAAGGTTTAATCCTTCATTATTATCAGTTTTATGAACTTAAAGATGAGATCAGATTCCTAAAAATGAATTTAAATGTTGAATATATCATGCGTTAAATCGGCCTCAATTAAAATAAAAAGTTGGCATCCACTAAAATAATTTTCCAGCATTCAAAGGTGGTAATATTCTTCACCACTTTCCTGCGTTCTATAGATTACAAGCTTAAAATATAACATATAAAAAACCCTTTTTAGGTTACACGGTTTTAAGTCAGAACTTTAAAAAATACAAGATATTTTTAATATGTGATAATACTATTCGTCTAATTTAATAAAAATTTTAATTTCACAATGTTAGATTTTTTTCTATTTTTGTGATTGATTAATGATGAATTTTAATAGCAATGCACTAAAACATACTATTGCTTAATAATTAAGCTGTCAGAATAAATCAGAGCTCGCTCCGAATTAATTGACAGCGTTCTTTACAAGTTTATCCAATCAACAAGAATGAACGTCTACAAAATACAACATGTAAATGTTTCTGTATGATATTTTTATTTCAAGCAACGAGAATACAGCGTTCAAATGTCACTCGTACTACTTAACGCACAAATGCCATTTATGAAACAATTAAGAGAACATATTTCTTCCTATGTTCGCGGGATGGTATAGTCAGCTTAAATGGTATCCGGCTTTGCTACGCATCCTACCTTGTGGGACGACAAAACTATTTCAAATTTACAAAATGCAAAATACCCCAGAAGTTTTTAAGAAGACATGCATAAGCCTAGATACTTCAATACAGTGAAAACTCTGTAAGATAATCATGTATAATTCTAAAGGATTTTCATTTTCTTTTGAGGTAATCATGTCACAGAAGCAATGTTCAGTGCTTAAATTTATTTATGTTTAATTACATTTATTTATGTATTAATTACATATACTGACATCAGAAACCTCTTTAGTGAGATAGTTTGCATTCGACACTTTTTGATTATTTTTTGATACACTTTTTGACAGCAAAATGATTATTATCAGGCTATTTAGTGTTTGGACTGCACCTCGATGCGGTGACATTTATATCCATTTATAACATTAGTATAATTAACAAAAGAAAATTCTCATACTATGTATTTTGCCATCAGAATACTCTTGCCAGTGCAAATCAGTCTGCTAATTGCTAAATTTAAGAACTGTTTTAAGTAAATTTCCAAAGCAAATGATTTTGATTTATATAGAAAACTGTCTTGAGAACGAAATTGAATTTTTACCAGGAATAGTTAAATCGCAATTTTTATGAGTTTTAAATTATGTTTGCTCTTAAAAATAAATTTGATGCACAGAGTGGTGAAAGCTGCTGCTCCGTTGAATCTCTTACCTCCTCCTTGCAAAATGGTTTCGACTCAGGATGGCCGGAGTGCTACCTTTTACCATTGGCCTAACGGGGATGATCGGTACGTACACTATGGCCGTCCTCGGGCCACAGCAAACTCGGAACTATCAAAGAACATACGTTAGTGTATTAGAGAAGAAATAATGAAATTCATCAATAATAAGTATTGAATGAGTCAATGCAAGAAATTTAAAGTAATAAAACGGAATTAATGTACTTTTACCTTAAAAATAACTTCATACAATTATATTGATAGACAGTAGCTTTCATCGCGAACTTGTGAAATATTAAATAATATCGTCTGCATAATTTAAAAATGCTCTCTCGGAAATGCAGTTAAGGACTGTCTGGTTTGTGTGCTTACCGAAAACTGAGAAAATGAAATTGACTTATCCTAGAATTTTTTTGTCGCGCATAAGAAATCAAAAAGAAAGAGATGCTGACTATCATCTAAATTTAAGAAATAAAGCGAAAATTAAAACTTTTGAAATGGTAAATTAAAATAGCTACCTAGGATAGAAGGGACTAGGAAAAGATATTCTTATAAAGATATTCTAGATAAAGTTAGAACAAATTGAGCATGCTAAAATTTGGAAAAAAAAAAAAAAAAACTCGAAATTCAGGATGGAATTACTTCTAATAAACAAGATTCTATGTTAAAATGCATATGAACTATAGCAGAAACTGTAATTAAACTGCTAAGAAATTAAACTTCATTTTTTGACTTAAATTCTCACTTTTTTGGAAACCACATTGTTATTGGAGATTTAACTTCACTATCGATAACTGCACTTAAAGCTCTCTAGTGTGATGAGCGTCAACGTGAAACGATATTACGTATGTTGTCCTTTTTCCTGTAATGATGAAGCTTTGCGTGGAATTTTAGGCTCTCACTGACATAAGCGTAGAATTTTAAATGAAATTTTAATTTATTCTTAACTGGACGGAATAGGACTGATGTTGAGTACTAGGACTTGTGGTCTTTCTCATTACAACAGTTCACAAGTATGAACGGTTTATAAAAAATTATAGGAACAAGAGTAAAATTTTCAAACTATTGTAAATCGTAATAGTATGAAAACGATATCAGGGAGAAACCGAAATCTATTGAAATATCTCAGGCTGTGCATCATAATGCAAAATAAAGAGATACAGCTCTTTTCATGAGCAAATATGAAAACTTCCGACATCTTTAACGAAAGCGTGTTTCAGATCTCTTTTACAATCTCATACTAATAGATGTCATTATTCACTACGGAAAAGTTAGAGATTGAGGTTTATCTTTTACTCCATGATGAACATCATGGAATAGTCCAAAATTACTTGAATGTTTCATATAGTCAGCCAAACTTCAAGACCTTAGTTTACCATTTTTGTGATGTCCCATGAATAACCACCGCAAATAGCTTCTGTATTCTGTATGAATGCTTCCATTTATTCATTATACAATAGTTTTATAATGCAAAAAAGAGCGGAGACAAATTGTTTCTTTTGGAAATTTTCAGAAATGCATTTTTTAATTGAAATAGGCAGAATCATGTGAATAGAAGTTTATGGAATCATTACAATGCGTTTTCTGATCACATTTTCTGTGACATATAACGTAGTATAACAGTAGACAGATATTGTGATGAAGAAGCACCCACCTGTTGACAATAGTTGGAAAGAGGGTCGGTTTGAACACCTAGCACTATTTGGATAGACTAAAAGAATTCGTTTCGTTACAAAATACTTCCTTTCAATCTAAGGCTAACTACCTCACATGTTAGAAATTTTTGTCCGTTTACCTGGCGAAGAGCGATTCCTCTTCCACAACTTTCCGGCCACCTACAAAGACTTGGGCAACCTGAAAACTTAATTTCTAGGGACGTCCTGTATCTCTTTCTGAAAGTTCGCATTTTGCTTTCACGAATCTCTAAGTTTTGGTCTCACAAACACTGTTTATGATTTCCCTGTTACATTTCTTTAATATGCCGTTAGCGCACATACTAACACTACATTTCTGTAATACCGTTCTTTCATGGCGTAAAATTATTCATTTAAAATAAATTACATTTCAATTAACATGTATCCTTTGAAAGGCAGATAAAATTAGTCGTTAGAATCAAACGCTAAACTTTGGGAGTTTTCAGTCAAACTGCCAGGTCATCAAACTGTAGGCACTGTCTATGTCACCTGAGTAAATATACTACTGCCTATATCAATGTTTTTCGCAAAACTCTCATTACATTTCATCTCACCTTGTATTTCATAAAATAAACTGAATATCAGTAACCTAAATAGGGAACCTAAGAACTGGGAAAGCATAGAAAAGAAAATTCAACCTAAACTATTCTAAATAAAAAAAATAATAATTCACTCCCTTTGTTCTCAATCGAACATTCTACCTATTTCATTTCGTAATAATCTAAATAAAATATCTCACACTATTTGAAGCATTAGTTTTCTTCCGCCAATATACAAATAATCACTTAATCAGAATTAAGAAATACTGTCTGACCATGGATAGTAGGACCCTAATTAACACGCCCCCAAAACATTTGCATATGTCTAACAGGCCTCCCAACTGGACATAGTGCACCTGAGAGATACATTTGCAACAACAGTGTGATAAAACGGATTCTATATATCCTAGAATCTAAATCATACGCATCCACATAATTTCATAAACAAATTAATGGAAGTTGCACTCGTGTGTTTGTGCTAATGGTCGCACTATCTCTGGCCAGACAGCACATAAAAGGCATTTTATTTCCTCATACCTGCATTTCTTCAACATTAGTGTTTTCCTGCCGCCATCGACTCTGAAAATTTAAAAATTATATTATTTATCTTTATTACTTCATGCGATATGTCTTTTAATATATCCCGTTCTTTCATGCCGTAAAGATATTCAGTTAAAATAAATTAAAATTAACAGGTAGCCTTTGAAAGGTAGAATAACGTTAAGTCACATAATTTTACTGGATATTTCCTGCAGACCGATAGCCATATATATGCGACAGACACGAACTCACTCGAAAAGACGGTAGTCAAGTAGATATACTTCCATGTAGAATATCTGCATACCAATTATGTTACTGTTCATTGTTTTGTTATTTTGGAGGGAATATGTTTTTGCTTGCAAAATATACCAAAATAAGTACAACAGAGTATGAAAACTGATTTAAAAATAACGGTTTTGCTGCAAGTACGTATTCTGTTTTCAGTGCAACAATCAGGAAATGAAAATATAAATAGGTAGCTAAATTTCATGAACTTTTGTCTCTGAATCAAAATGCGAAATCGACTCCAGAGTTAAGAAAGAACTTCAGTAAATGAGACAACGTAATTCTGAAGACCAACTGATCATTATGAAATCCCTCTTTTACAATCTCTTTCTAGGAACCTCAGAATTACTTTATGATGGCTTTACATATTACCCAGCAAAAATGTATATCTGATGAATAAAATATTTCTGATGAATTAAATATTTTAAAAGTAGTTTGTCTAAAATCTTTCATATGTAGAAATATGGAACTATATTTATGCAGCAATATAAATCTTTAAAAGGAAGGAGTATTTACCTTGATTACACTTAACATTTACCTTGATCTTTCACGGTGTTTTGTAATTTAGACTTAACGACAAAATACTCTCATCCTGTAGGATGGAATCTGTAGCCCGTTGGCTGCATAAGAGAAATTGCTGTCTTGTAGCAAAAGATTAAGGATGGTTAAGTTCAGAATTTATCTGGACAAATTCCACCTATTCATATTACGAATAATGTATAACTTAATTCCTATACACAAAATTCAGAAGCTTATATAACCATTCAAACAAATCATGTGCAACTTTTAATTCCTTTATTTAATTTACTTCTTTAACCCATTTAGTTTTATTTAAGTATGATGTCAGTTTGTCACTTCATATGTGACTTAACGAAATTCTGCCTTACTGGGGCTGATAAAGGAAACATTCAAACACGATGCTAAATAAATCCCAGAATTACATCAAAACATCATTTAAAAAAATATAAGAGCTACAACAATTAAATATAGTTAGTATCATTAATTCTATTGGCATTCGGCGCTCCCGGACTTATTGCAGAAAGTAATACCCACATTGCTAATTTCATGTGCATTGTCATGCAAAAGAAATCAGTTTTAATATCTGTTACTGAAACTCCAACTACACAGACTGTTCGATTACACACACATTGCTTTCCTGTGCCTAAATCTCTAACTGCAACTAGTCAGTCAGTGAACGAACATGACAGCCAAGACTGATATCAGGCCGCTGAATATTGATAGATATTTCAACTTGGGTTAATTTCTCGCAAATGTGCAGGGCGCATGAGCGTTTTTGCAGTTTTTCTCGTGTGTGGTGTTAATAGGACTCAAGTTCCCCTTAGAAAACTCTTCCACAAAATCATCTATCCTTTAAGCAGATAGCCATAGTGTGCGTAGCCATAATCTAAAAATGCTTGTTTCAATAATCTTTTAACTGCGATAAAGCCTGGATGAAGTGAGCGGAACTTATATTCAGGACGAGTGTCTTCTGACTATGCATATTATCTGTGCTTAATTTGAGACTAAATCGTTTGCCAGTATCAGTAGCTATTATAATTCATGTTGTGATCACATGAGTTGATATCATTTGCAAGCATGTTATATATCCGTTTCATTTTTCATTTCCATTTTAATATACGTATATAACATTTATAATAGTTATGTTAAGAACAATTTTAAATCAGGGTTTTATTTTGCATCTCATTACATTAACATATTCATGATATGAATTTCAAATTCTTATATTTAAATAAAATGAACAAACAAATCTTGATTTGATTTGTAGAAATTAACCTGTTTCCACACATGAATTAATATGCCTTTGAAGACAAAATTTATTCAATATTCTTTCTCAATTTAATTTCTATAACTATAAATAAATAAACAAATAAATAAAAGATATATATAACATTATATTTGGTAAAACTTTGCCACCTAAAATAATCTTATACTTTTCAAGGAATTTAAAGTTATCTGTTAACACATGTAATAATTTATTGCTTATCAATATTTCTAAATTTCTGGTTTTATCATTTCTAGGATCTAAATTTCTGCTTTTTACTGTATACGATTTACCAGGTTATTTTTGATTAAAGTAGTCTATATTTAACTGTGTTTAAGTAGATTATTTAAAACACTAATTTTAATTATCTTTATAACACATTGTGCTTACATCATATATTCTGCCTGCACTTAATTTAAAAAGAGTATCAATTTATGCAAAGTAATGGCAGGCATAAATTGGAATTTTATTTGCTTTCTTGTAAAGTTAAAAATACTTTAACAGTACTGAAAGTTTGCTACATAAAATTAAATATTTTGACATTTGCGTATTACAAAATACAGTCTGGGTACAAAATAATACGAACTCTTGTGAAATAAAAGAAAATACTATTTATTCATAGGCAGCTGGACCACCTCTTGGTGGAAGTACAAATCGTGTGCGATGTAGAATGAACACACAGAGATCTTCGCAACATTTGAAAGAATATGAAACCTATGAATATGAATATGAATGCATAGCATTCTTAAATTCCAAAAACGCAACTAGAGTCGGACTCGAACACGAAGTTTTCACTTCAAATATCCTCCTAAATATTTAACAATTTTCACGTTAGGGGAGAGAAAGGGTCACATCCCTAGATTCCCTATCACATGACATATCATGCTTAAACATTTTGCTATACGAACCATACTTGAAAACAAGTATTGATGTGGATAGGAACGTTTTAGTGTTGAAAGCATGGTCGCTATCTAGGTGTGAACACAAGATGATAATGATCCGCCAGGATGCTCTGACAGTGATGGCATTTTGTCCTCCTATGCAGAATAACAAGTAGGCGAAGATTGCGTCAAGATCATCAACTCCATGCAACTTTGGGCACCGTCTTAATACCAAGAGGAAGCCAACTCCCAAAATATCAACAGGAAACCAACTCCATGATTCATTATCGGTAAGATGCAAGAAGGCTTAAACGCATCTCTGTAGGTTCTCATATACGCACTCGGTGTTCTGAAATAGGGTGAGAGTTGATACATGAAACCAAATGACTTGTTGCCACCTCTATGGAACCCAAACTTGAACTGTTCACACGTCGCTTGAAATCATAATGTTATGTCCTCAGTGGTTTACAATTTCCATTCTTCCATAAATGTTTACAGCATGGAGTTCCATCTTGGCAGTGTTTCTTGAAATAAAGCACTGGAACATTCATTTGACATGCTATTTGAAATAAAGTTTGCCTTCACTTTCATCATTGTACCTCTTAATATTCATCTGTTTTTGTCAATCAGCTTCGTATTTCGTCCACTACTGTGTGTTGAAGACGTCGGCTTACCTTTTTTTTCTGTACACGTGAATAACGGCTGATATGCCGCTTCTTGAGGGCCGAAAGTGACCGGTGTGTTGTTTCTGTAACAGATGTGCCATTAATCGTGCTCCAATAATCATGCTTCTTTAAACGCTTGTGATGTCTGATATTTCAGCTTCTCTCAGAGAATACGAGGGGTTATGGAACATATATGACAGCTATTGAGAAACCGATACATTCGCTTTCACGACCACAACTTAAAGGACTACTCTGGCAGGCGGCACGGCTGTACTGCAGGTGGGAAACGCAACATGTGTTTTCGCAGGCATTCGTATTATTTTGCACCGCCATCTATGTACTTAAATACGTTTCAGTCTATCTTATAATTCAATTTCTAGAATTGCACAAAGGATCGATTCTTTGTTACTCTACCTAGAAATGCAGGATTGAAATGATATGCTCATTAGAAACGCTTGTGATATCTTGTTACACATTACTCAGTATTTTTGTTTTTATGTTGCTTTAGGAGGGAAATCGTCCAAAATACGTTCCTTTAATAATTTCAAATGACAGCTACAGATGGTCTCTCCTATCTATAAAAATACTTACTTTCTTGTTAGAAAAATATTTATCTTGGTGTTGTTGTTAGTGCTGTTGAGTTCTAATCTTACCAATAACAACACGGTGTCAAAAGCTTTGTTTTAGAATATTTACTACTGATATAATTAGTCACTAGAAAATTGTGGAAATTACCTGAAGGCCTTCATCCATCCATTCATCCGGTGAGTGAGGAGAAGGATAAAATGCAGGATCATATAAGTCTGGCCACTCTGAGTTGAGGCCACCTGGGGCAAAGACGCTCACGATACTGCGAGAGGAGGAAACTCCGTTAAGAAAACCTCCTCTCCTATAGGGATTGCCAAAATCTAGAAGTAAATATTTGTTTAACTGTCTTGTTTTAATTACAATAATCATTTTAGAAGACGCCATAATTTTTTTTAAATTATTTATCCTCTCCAGCAAGAGTTTTACGTTAACTATATGAGTTGCAAAGAGATCTAATTTCTTAAATGAAAATTTAAAAAATTAATTCAAGAAATACTTGAAGTCGGCAGACATTGAATTAATTTTTGAGATCAAATTGGGATACCTTTCGCCTGTGGCTACGACACCGTCCAAGGCAGCACTCTCTTGATTATTATACAGGTTGCCTCAAAATTAAAGAAAAATTTTAATTCAGGGTCATTGTTTGCCGTTGGGTTTAGTAATCGCATTCCGGTTAGCATATTTAGCAAGTGCACATCTCTGTAGCCACCGAGGGAGTGGCTTCTAGGATGGAACAATGAGCATGCAATAACATTTCTGTCATGTCACATGACCTTTAACTTTCGCCTGCTTTAAGCAAGATGGTTGAAAATATTTTACCACGCAATTTTCTGTACAAAATAATTAATACATCGTCGATTGCTTCTGAAACTTTTCATTTCGAAGTTAAATTAATTATATAAAATTATGAAGATTTCACTACCTGGTTGAAATAAATACAAACACATGTTGAATACTTCGCAAAAATATCGATGTGAAATATCACTTAATAAGTGGTAAATAAGGTGAAGAAAAGAAACATGTGATAAACATCTGAAGCACAAATGCAATCTTTGCATAAAACTATGCGTATGAGAAAAATATTAACACCAAATATATATGTAACTAGAAGTCAGCACTTTTTATTCGCAGTCTGTATGGAAAAAGATGTTCTATAATAATAACCAATGCGGAATTTTATTCAAGTAAACTTTACTAATTTGCATTCGTATACATTTAATGTGTTAAATTTCGCATTTAATAACTGCTCACTCTTAAATGTACTGTCTACGCAAGAAATACTCATCAAACACAGTGAATTTATAGTATTCACAACGAGTATATTTAATTTATTCACATATAATTTTTAATGTTAACAATGGCTATAATTAGATCATATGTATTCTGAAACTTACACTTTAAAATCAAAAGAATGAAAGCACTGAAATAAGGAAACACCAGATGTATTGTAATACTTTCAGTCATCCTCAGCTGAATTTAAAAAATATACACTTGAATTCTCTTAATCCACATAATATGCTATGAACATCAGTCCTAATATTAATGCGTGCTAAAGATCGCGAAAGTGAAATGTCAGCGATTAATCAAACTCAGAAAACGAAAGCATTGCGAGATTTTCTACTATTACGCCATATATTTATAACTGCGAAACAAATGCAAATTAAAACGTAAACAACATACGTTCACATACAAGAAGATTTAGCGTCACAATAGCAAAAGCAGCTCATTGGTTCGTTTTCGAAAACCAACCCTCAGTGGCTACGCTGATGTGCACTTGTTAAATATGCTTCCGGTTAGTAGTGTGTTAGTCATGATCGAGAAATACACGATGTAGGGCAGTATAATCATCTGAAAGCACATTACAAATTACAGTAACCGTCAACGGTTGTATGGATGATAACAGTATTTCTGTAGCCTTAGTTGCAAGCCACGGACTTTGGCTTTGATGTTGATGAGATATTCTTTCAGCAGGGTGAAGTCAAGTGTTATGCTGCGCACGAAACCACTTTTTGCAGCAGAAACTTCATGAGGGGAGCTGATTTCGCACAACATTGATTACAATTGGCAACAAAGCCCTGTGACCACATAAATGAGATTTTTATCTCTAGGCATTTGTCAAATGCAAAGTGTTCAGCAGACGTATGCTAAATTCGTGAACTTGAAGAAGAGAACAAATATTTAATTTCGCACGAGTGTCTTACGAGATGTGGAGGACATTTGCTGAATGCTGAATGTTATTTTTTATATTTTATTTTGAGTGTATGTCCTTCCAAAGTATGTCCCAACTTTGCGAATTCATGCATAAATAAAGATTCATTTTGCAAATTGAAAACATTAACCTTTTTTATTATATTTTAGAAGAAAACCATTTACCTTTGTCGGTTTGGTAGTTCTCTCAAGAGATGAGCAATCTATATAGATGTAGATTTTCCGCAAAGTTTCCGCACAGTTTCCCGCAAATGTTCCAAGTTGTTTTTGATAATATACCACAGAATGCTTGTGTTTCCTGTACCTCTCACAGGACAATACTAAACATTGATTACTCTCTACGAGATCTCAATATCGCTAAACGACTCAGCCACAGTGCTAACGCAGAATGCTGTTAACTCTTATTGAAAAATCCCTGAAAGCTTTGAAGACATTTCTTTGCATTTTCCGCGAGGCAACTTCGGTAGTCGTTGCTCTTCTTTTCCCTGAAATAACATTCATGCATACCAAAAAGTTATGCAAATTTAAAGGTATGCGGCATAGTTTAAAAGGATGCCACCTTAACTGTGACCTAATAAGCGTTCCTGTTTAGTGTCCCAGCTCACTGGAAACAAACATTATTGTTAAATATGTGCAAGGTCTAACATAAATACGTAGCTTTGCTGTTGAAAAGACTTTGCAAATAGTGTAGATCCACCAGATATTTAGCTTTCAATTAAAACCTTATTTTTAATTAAACTGAAATCTTAGCTAGTGCCAGTAGTCTCATCTTATAATACTTTCAATACCACAAGTCATCGGGTTAGATTGGCATTGCACCTTTAATCAGTAAATCACTAGAAAACAATTATACGAATTTCCAATTCGACTTTTGTTTGTTTCGACAATTTTTGTTTTCAGACAGCTGCCAATTCGGCAAACAGATTAAGAAAGCTATGTATGTTTACTATTTGGCTGAGTTTCACTTTCTGTTTAATTTCACACCACACAGTTATACCAAACTCAACGAAATACACGTATACATACTAATTACAGTTAGCATTTTTATAATTTTTCAGAGAGAGTTGCATATAGTGCTGACGTTTGCACCATATGCAGTTACTGCTATTATATTATTAACAAAATTTATAAATACAACATTCATTTTTACACTATGTCAAATACATACCCATTCTGCGTGAATCCGGAGACTGCAGATTTTCATAAGATGATGCCTGGCTTGTGATGAGAGTGTTCTGCACCATACCACCCACCATGTTACCTCCAAAACCTCCCCCACCGCCTCCCATTCCACGTTTTGTTAGGGCTGGACTCTGACCTCTGGATCCCGCAGGAGAGTAAGGACTGTGGGCAGGAGACGAATCTCTTCCCAAGCCTCCCCCACTTCCGGGTGTATCAGGAGGTTCAAGACCACCCCCTCTTGGGCCACCACTTGTTCCCATGCCAGGACTACTCCTTCTCTGTCGATTCATAGTCTCCAGCATATTTAGATCACTAAAATTTAAAGTACAAATGTATTATACATGAGTTAAAGCTAAACAAATCTTGTAAGTAAATATAGTGCTCAGATGGTGCAGTAATAATATCATTAATAAGATCGTAAGGCAAGTTAAACTGTAGACAAAAACATAATTTTTGACAGTTCATTTTTAGAATTAATGTTAAAAGCTCTCAGCTGCACATTAATTCGCGCAAACCCATAAATATTCAAATCTTAATATTCGTGAATGCAGTTCTGTAAATATAAAATAGAGAATGGAATACAATATACATAAAATATTTTTTGATCTTTTAGCTTAAGGCATTAAAATGTAAAACAAATAATAAATTTTAGCTTTTATCGTACATATGCGATTGCACATAAGACTATGAGAAAGTCGCATGTCAACTGTATTGAGAAAAAAACAGAATTTTGAAGAACAATAATGATGACGGCAAATTTTTTTTTAATGAAATCTTTATAGAAATGTTTTAAAATTTTAGTCGCTAACTTCTAAAATTTAAAAGTTAAAAAAATATCTATATCAATATTTTGGTCACTTATGATTAAAAATGAAAACCTACCAACTCTATGTAAAAGAAGTCCCAAGATTTTCATTTTTAGTTACATATGCTTAAGAATACTGTCCTATATGAATTAAGGTTTTTAAAAAATTTACTCCTGAATACATCTGCTGTGTTTAAGATAATCTAATCTACAGTATTCAAAACATTAAATATTTTCGAAAGTTAATAATAAAGAATAATAATAAAGAAAATATTAAAAATGACGGGTGTATATTTTAGATTGGAAGCTGCAATGTCTATGCTTCAAGCCTATATGCGTATGTAGGCATTTCTATTGCTTTTAGTTAAGTCACAGTTGTCAGATAGCATCACAACACTTGTTTACCATCAGCAAAGTAACAAAGGTAAGAACATGCTTCTTTCCAAGCAAAGCAAATGTATTTTAAAATGTTATAAAAAATTTGGGAACGTGTGAGAGGTGAAAAGAGAATGGAGCACATCATTTGAGACTACGCCACAGTCAGATATGTCCTATGATATCTATCTTGCGTCACATTACAACGTGGTACATGTCTGTTTTTCCCTTTGAATTATAGCCCCTTTTGTCAGCCTGTTCTATTCCATTAAAGACCAAGTTGCCAATGGAATTTCGCATTTAAGCATTTACAGTTTTGGGATATGTGATATCTAAAACGTTATTACTTACCATTATTGCTATTCCCGCTATTAACGTTAAAAAATGTGTAAACAGTTTTTGGAACATCATGTCTGTATATGCGATCTTTTTATCTATAACATGTATTAAACTTTGAAATAAATAAACCTTAGGTCACTATTTTATGTCTTTATTATCACGAGTTGACTTCAAATAAATTTTAAGAAATTCAGTATTTGCTGATTATACTAAAATTATATTTATATTTAAATTTGTTTTAGCAATATGTTTCTGCATTTTTCTTTATAAAAAAATTCTGAAATTAGCTTTATAAAAAATGACAGAATAACCTCATATTTCAATTAATCATTGGGGGATTAACGCAATATTTCAACTATTCTGAATATTTTCAATACCCTTTCTACACTCCTCATTTTCTGCTTATTCAGAAAAATCGCAATCGCTTCCTGTATTTTCAACATACTAGGTTTCTACGCTTTTATGCCAACGAAGGTGAATAGTATCACAGATGGTCAAAGGAGAATAGGAGTGGATATTTAAAACAAACTCATTGTTTTTCAGTGGACAGCTTTCGCACGTTGCTGGACGAGTGGCTTGTGACATTGTCATACTGTATCATCTGATTCCCAATGCTGCACAGTTCTCGACTCATGAGATTCATACATTCAAGCAGACGTTTCAGCCGGCTAATTTTATAGACTGCATTGATAGCTTGCTTTTGTCTAAAACAAATGTCCTTCTGTAGTTATGTTCTAACTTTTACATTTCTGTAAATGTTCGAGCAATTATTTTAGCAAATAAATAGGTCATGATAGTAAAATTAACTTTTATTATTATGTGCATATTCCTAGATTTTAAGTTACGTATACAGTAGGTAATATTAAACTATTCTTTACCGTTGATTTACGGAATGGTTATATTGAAGCTAGTGAAATATAGCAGTGATTGTCCATGATCTGCATTTCTCATTCGCTTAAGCTTCATTAACGATACCACTATCATCCTTATTAAAGTCAACTGATATGAAAATGAAAATAAATTTGAGAATCATTCTTTAATCTTACCATCGAATGACTATTTCGACTTCATCTGCAGAAGATGCTATGATCCTTTGCACTTCTTCATATGTTCGTCCTGTCAGAGGGACGCCATTCCACTCTAGTACTTGGTCCCCTAAAACCCAGGGCATTCAATATGTTAGAAATAATTTAAGCAAAATCTAATACACAAATATATTAAAAATTAATACGCATTTTTATAATTACATTGAACTAATATGCATTATAAATTGTACCATTTACATCCCACCTGCCATAAGTTTGGAAATGTTCTGTATTTGCAACATTTTTATTCTGTATGTTTGATATAAAACCATATCTGGAACTTAAAAAGCTAATTTATTATTGCAAGTGATTACATGTTGTCAAAAATGGAAATTTTATATATTACAATTGCATGTCGGCTGAAATAAGTCTAAAAAGCAACGAGAACTATAGAATATGCACATGATTCTGACCGAATCTTATCAATTAAAGCTACGACATATGAGCTTTGAAGTAATTTTCGTATTAAAAGAAGTTTTCTAATACTTTATTTTGCAAATACAGTCGGACTAGGTTATAACGGGAGTGAAAGGACCCCGTATTTGCTCGTTATAACCGAGTGTTCGTAAAACAATGGTTTCGTGAAAAAAATTTAAAAATATTCACTATATTATACAAACATATTTACTATGGTGTCCGCCGATAACATCGCGGCAAAACATCGTGGACGAAAACGTCGCGGAGAAAACAACGCAAGGTGAAAACGTCGTGCTACAAAACATCGTGGGAGAAAACATCGCAAAGAGAAAACATCGCAGTTCTAAAACATCGTGGTACAAAACATCGTCGTCGAAAATAAAGCGGTTCAAAAACATCACAGTTTAAAAACATCGTCGTCGAAAATATCGTGGTAAAAAATAAAGTATCTACAAATCATCGCATGACGATAACATCGCAGACATGCTTTTTTTCAGGTTTAATAATTGTAAATGGATATTCCCATAATGATTTGTGAGGCGCAATTGTAAAGAAGGATAAATTTTACTTTCACATATTTATTAACTAATAATATTTGCTGAAAACGTAAGAAGGAAACTTAAGCATATAAAATTAAATGTAATTATAGATTATACTTTTCATGAAATATTAACCAGTAAAAACTTTATAAAAATGATTTATTAAGGCCTTTGTTAGTTAACTATGTCGGTTTTAAAATTCTATCAAGTGCTATAAGTTGCATTAATTTTTTATGCTTAAAAGTTTCCTTTTATTTTCTCAGCAAAAATTTATTAATTAATAAAAAATATGAAAGTAAAAATTATCCTTCTTTCCATCTTGCGCTCACAAATCATATGGGAATATCCATTTACACATTATTAAACATGCCTGAAAAAAGCATGTCTGCGATGTTATCGTCATGCGATGATTTTGTAGATACTTTATTGTTTACCACGATATTTTCAACGACGATGTTTTAAACTGTGATGTTTTTGACCGCTTATTTTCGACGACGATGTTTTGTACCACGATGTTTAGAACTGCGATGTTTTCTCTTGCGATGTTTTCTCCCACGATGTTTTGTAGCACGACGTTTTCGCGTTGCGTTGTTTTCTCCGCGACATTTTCGTCTGCGATGTTTTTGCCGCGATGTTTTCGGCTGTAACCATTTACTATATTATAAATACTTTGTTTCATTTTTATTTCTGTACAGTGCAAAATAAGTTGGTTAATTTGCTTTCATCTGCCTTATTGTTCTTCGTAGAAAACACATGGCTCGGAAAAAATCGTCATTTGCACCCCTGGATTTGAATTTTTTCTGTAAACTCAAGAGGCATTCAATATATTGGGGCGCTTCCAGCTTCAAATTCTTCACACTCATCGTTGCCTTCGTCACTTTCACTATTTGTTCATTTACTTGAATTTCAGCTGCAATATCCTCAGAAGTAGGTATCTTGGAAGCGATAATATTGACGTCAACAGATGCATAATTTTCAATTCTTCTCTACTCATTTCTAAATTTTCCAAGACGTCTATTTCTTTTTCTTCCTCAGTGATTTTCCCCTCTTGAGAAATGTCCAATCTAGCCTTACAGAAGCAATTGGTAATGCATGTTGATGTAACGTTTCCTCATGCATCGTTCATTAGCTGTATCGCTTCGAGTAGGTTTACATTAGCATTTGTGATTGTTCCTATTTTTTCTCTTCTATCGAGAAGCATCAAAATCAAGTGCTTACGAAAGTTTGATTTAAAACTTCTGATGATCCCTTGGTCCACAAACTGGAAAACGCTTCGGAATTCGATAGTAAAAATTCAATGCTGATCACTCCCCAAGATTTAAAAAAAATGTCGCCGCTTTAAAAAAACAAATTGTGTTTGCAGGATTTATGACCCATCACTAACTTTCGGTTGACTTCAGTGTTAAAATTTCCCCAAGAAAGAGTTAGCTCAGCTGAAGAGGAAGAGGCGAAAGTCAATAAAAATTTTATGAATCACAAAAATATTGCTCGTTATAACCGGGGTTTGCTCGTTAAACGCGAGTTATGCTCCCATAGATTTAACATTGTATAACCAAATACTTTCGGATTCCTCGTTAAATTCGTTAAATCAGAGCTCGTTATAACAACTGTGTGGCTAAAGCTGTGAAACACCAGCAAATCGGGCCAGATTCTATCACTAGCTTCCTTGTTCAATACATTGGAATTTTTATATTTTCTTCATGATTAATATGGATACTAGTTTTTTTATCCTTAAACTTTCCTCAAAAAAGCATTCTTCCTTTATCAAAGACCTTCTCGTACTTTGTCTTATGAACTAATGAATATAATTTAACTCCGAAAATTTTCAGAAGGTAAATAAATATTGCTGTAGAGACGAAATAGAAGCTGTACAAAAAATGGTATGTTCCTTTTCAAAACAGAGTCTTCTAAAATATGTTTTAGTTCTATGCACATGATCCTAAAGTATCTTAATGAAATGCTTAGTGAAAGAACACCAAATATACTTTGTCAAGGTAGAACGCATATAACGTCAGAAATTGAAGATAAGCATTTCATAGCCATAAGGAACGTAATAGTTTTGAAGTGAGCACTGTATTACTCGCAAAACTCAATATGGTGAGAAATACTGAAATGTCATTGATTCTAATAAGAGATCATAGCATAAAAGTATACATAAATATGCGTATAAACGTTACTTCTAGGAGCTCTTGATAAAATAATAGATTATCGCTTGCTAACAAATATGAAAATTCAATTAACAAGACTAAATGCATTTCCACATTTCATTTCACAAGTGAATGAATATTCAAAGATTTTTCCTAATACAGAAAATTATTTTACCACGGTTTAATTGATTGCAATATTAGTAGATATTCTTTACTATCTTTTAGTTGCTTTGCTACAGACTGAGAATATTTTGAAGGCCATGCAACTAATAATTTCATTCTAAATAAATAGTATTTCGAAGAAGCAGAACGACTGTATCCTTTTTCGATGGATGTAGTAACATTTGGCAAATGCCTGATTGCTCACGGATTTCACTTCCCTCAAAGTAATGACTCTAAATATTCTTGTACGATATACAAGTTATATTAAAATGAAGCACTGTAGGATCCAAAGCAAGCCAAGAACCATCTCAGAAATTAGTTTTAAACCCCAATGAGCGTCTAAGGAAAGAATATCATAACAGAATCAAATCTTTCAACGTTAAATTTAAATTAGTGAAGAAATCAGGCTATTGTGATATTGGAAAATTACTTGGCAAGGATGCGTCGACGGTACATAGCTGTGGTAAAAACTTCAGGCAGATTATTTAAAGAACTAAGGATTTAAACTAAAATTAGTACTTTTATTTTCTTTCTTTGTATTCATGAATGCGGTTGAAAACTGTGAAAATTATTACATAAGAAAATATTAATTTTATTTTCTGAGTACAACAATAAGATAACAATTCTTATATGCAATACCTTTACATTTAACCTTGGAATGCTATTTTTGTTCTGTTATATACGCAATGTCTTTACATTTACACTTGGAATGTTATTTTTTTTTCAGTTATATGCAATGTCTCTACATCTTAACTTGGAATTAAATTTTTTAACTTAATATCTTCATTCACTCAAATGTCAATAGAGGAATATACCTTCTTTCACTTCTCCGAGGGTTTCAACTACGCCTCCAGGAAAGATCTTTGCGACGTAAGCTCCTATCATACCATTGGACCCAGGCACTTCTTTGCCGCCAACAACTTTCATGCCCAAACCGTTTCCTGAAACACAGTCACATGGCAATAAGGTAAGTTTACATAAATTTAAAATCCGCATTCATTTAGTTTGTTTAAAAATGAAAAGAAATAAGGATACGATAGGATAAATAGGAAAATACTGTATTAAATGTTAACAAAAGCTTGTAAATTTAAATATATATTAAAATCTCTTTCATTAGCTTGAATAAATATCATTACCTTATCAACATCTTTTCTAGTAATTTAAATATACCTGACTTTTTCCTGACTATTTCATGAATAGTGCATAATATAAACAGCACATAACTTCACCCATCAAAATCGCAGTTAAAAATAAAGTATGGCACTATGAACAATGAATTTTTATTAACTACGAATTACTAATTACCTCTAAGATAATTAAGAAATAAAATGTCCGTAAGTTTATTTTATATATCAAAAATTAACTGTTATAACATTTAATGCTTCTTTTACCTTGTGAAAGATAAATATTGAAATTAAAATTAATGAAGAATCACTAAACTATCTGCTCATAATAAAACACTCATACTGTCATTTGTCTATACGTTTGATATACCCTAACGAAACATCTAGAAAACATTGATACAAACCACTGACGGAACGATCCTTGGGGTCCCTGGTGAGGAGTATCCTCTTAACAGGAAAATCATATTTCTGAGTGGTCTTGGAAATGGGAGTGCGCTAGAAAGAAGCAAAATATTTGTTTACGATGTCGTTCTTTTCACCAGGATGTTAGTTCTTAACATTAATTTCACAATTAAAACAGATACTGCATATGTTGTCTCCTTTCACATCCATCACCTAATTGTATATATGGGCATAAGATAACAAAAGCAATTCTAAGCGTTAGAAATCAGAAGTTAAATACATTGATATTAGTATTTTATTCTAATTATTAATCAATAAAAAGACATAATTCTTAACAGTCTGTTCGTTTTAAAAGTTATAAATTCATTAAATCATTTCGTCTGAATTTAAACACAAATTAATGCCCATTGCATATATGCTTGGGATAATATTTAGTTCCAATATTTATGCTTTTTCAAAACAACCTCTAATTTATAAATGCTCTGAAACTAAATTGAAAATGTTATATATAAATAGCATATAACGGCGATATCAGGCATAAAATTTAAATAATTATCAAATAATTAATAAAATATTCAATGAAAGCTCATTTATTTTTACAAAATTAGTGATTATGTTTTGACAGTTTTAATACAAACATTTATGATAATTATTTTTGATTAGAAAATGTTGTTTGAAAATGAAATAGTAAAATGTGCTTTAAAATATTATGCTGAAAATAATTATAGCTGTAATAAAGCAGAAAGAAGTTTTATTTAAACATTATGCATTTATTATCTTGTTAGAGAAACCGAAAACTAAGAGCGCATATTATTAATAATTCTAAAACTCAGTTCATCTGCTCAAATAATAAGCTTTTCAATGCTATTAACTGCATAAAAATTATTAAACATTAAGCATCTTAATTTAATTTAATTTAATTATGAAGTGTTGCGAACATTCCAATTGACTACAAATTTCGTGAATTTAAAAAGCGTAAAATTAAAAATTTTCTATGAAAGTTTCAGGCAGCAGTTTGGGGACTCATAACACTTTTTGGTCTTTCTGAAAACTACAAAACTGTTTTTTAGAAATGATTAATTTCATTTGTAGAACAAAATATTTCAAGTAAAAATCGTTTTTCATTAAAAATTGGTAGACTTTTGCTTTTATGACTAAATTGCTGGTGAAGACATTTGTTCAAAAATTAAAATTACCTGGATCCAAAATATTAATTGAATAGTAACAAGCACATTAAAACCTTCTAGCACTAATCAGAAATTAAAATCAATATGGAATTATAATAAATTATGCTGAAAGTAATTGCGTGTTTTGTATGAAAAGGAACGGGATAGCTCATAAATAAGCATTTCAGATGCAATACATCCTCTCTCTGCTTGCACTGGCAGAATACAAATGAAATATCTAGAAAGTAGCAGTGTATGTATCCAATTTTAAAGTATGGTTATGTTTCATAAAAATGCTTAAGCATGGAAGCAGTTCTCTGCGAGCAATGGAATCTACACTAATCTTTTAATAGTTATACTATTTAAATGTGATTTTAATATCTGTTGTTGCTTATCTCACTTGAAATAATAAAATTAGAATAATTTTCAAACCTGTAAGTGCTGAGTTTCTTAAGATCTAACTTTGCGTGTCCAGCAGGTTGGTTGAAAAGCCATCAATAAAATAAAGGAGATGTAAAGATAAAACCGAAGCTTAGTTGCACTTGGAACAATAAGGAAGGATTGTGAAGCCCCAACAGACCATCACATATCTTAAACGATATGTTACGTGCTTCTTTAGAAAGGGAATCAGTCCTGTCGTAAGCAAACAACTCGTGTGTCAGAAGTTTTCTAGAGGAAACTGGCTTTCATCTTTCTATGGGAAGACAGATCTTCAAAAGAAAAGGTTTGGAAAAATGTCAGAGTTTTCTCATTTCTCATTTTAGCTAGGAAGTGGTTTTCCTTCTTACTTCCACAAAAGGGAACTACCGTATTTGGCATCGTATAAGACTCACCCTCCCTTTTTGTACACATTTTTGGGGGATTTAATTTTATTACTGATCATTATAATGAATTTACAGTTTTTTAAGTATAACGTAATATAAATACAAAGTAATACTTTCTGCTAATAAATATATCTGGGAAATAACACTTTTTAATCTTTGTCAAAACCCATACACTCATCTCCATAGCTAAATGAAAAGTCACTTCGAACCTCTTCTAAATCAGCGTGTGAGTCCTCATACAACAAACTGCCCTCTGTACCATCCAAAACATTGCTAATACAACGCTTCTTAAATGTTTTAACCACTGTCTCTGTTTTTACAGCATCCCATGAAGCTTTGACACATTCACAAACTTGCGAAATGTTAGCCATCTGCCTCCTTCCTGATAGTGTTATCAGGACTTGTATTTCTCCTAATCTACTTGGCGAACATGAGGTGTCCTGACTAGACAGTGAGTTTGAATACAAACTACACGTCCTACAGAGTGTAGGAGAGACGACAAGATGAGAAGGGTTTAATTATCCTTTATTTTCCATGATATTACAGGCGCTCTCGCACTTCAGGATATAAAGACCAACAACTTGCGGTCTGAGCGTAAAAATATACAAACTACTAACTAACTAAAAATAAGAGTTTGAAAACTTTACAAAAATACTCAATAATTAATTTTACTTAACACTAAGACTGTCCTTTTAAATTATTACGTATGTAGTTCGCAAACTGCGGGAAACTACAATACGTCTTTAGCTTTCAAGAGGACTAAAACCTTTGGCCTTAAAGGCGGATTGCAACTAATTGCAAGCTCGCGTGAAGTATAGTAGCAAGCAGGCTCACGTTCTTCCCATCTAACTCTGCTCTTGGTAAAAAGCCACAACTTAAACGTTAGCAAGTACAATTTGCATAAACAATTTAACGCGTTTATTCTGGCCGGAAGTGGAAAATAAGAGATGATACTAAAGTTTTAAAATAAAATAAACGTTAGTGAAACTTAAGATCCTTACAGTGTAACCTCAATTTGAAGACTGCATCCAACTGTTCCACTTCTCTTTCATATATCCTTTAAACATTCCACAAGCGAACAAGAAAAAATCGCATAACTCTGGATAGAGGAAATTTTCAGAAATTAATGTAATCAAAAACAGAGTATCGACATATAAGATGCAGTACCGACGTATAAGATGCATCCTGTTTTTCAGACCTATTTTCAATGAAAAACGTGTGTCTTATACGCCGGCAAGTGCGGTATTTGAAATCATTAATTTTTGGATGCATTCATTGGGATAGCTCTATCAGTAACATTTATGAGAATTCTTATTTGCGACTTTTAAACTTAATTTTAAGACCCTCTGCGTAATCCTTTGCGAACAAGAAAGGAATTTCACTTATTGCAGCTACAAACAGCTGCAAATGATTTCAAAAGGCGGAAATTTGTCGTTAAAGAACGGCGGAAATTTGTCGTTTCTTTCTCTTTCCGAACAAGAAAGGAGATTCTCTTATTTAACTATGAAATAGAAATTGCCGTAAATAATTTCATGGTAAAGGACGGTGGAAATTTATCGTTAAACTTAATTTTAAAAAACCATAAAATCACGATTTTAAAGTGTTAAATAATAATTTTCTTTCTTTACAGCTTAATTTCTCTATTTTGTGTGATTAAAAGCTTAAATGTTTCCTTATTTCAATAGCTAAAACTCAAAGTTTTCAAAAAATAAATGTTTTACATTTTATTATTCTTATTGTGTATTTTGCTGTATAACATGTAGGTCTTAAGTCAGGTGAATATAACGGAAGAATTTAAAACTGAAGTTCCGCGAAAGGGATAACGAGACCAGCTTTCGTAAAAATAGCGATTAAAATTATTTCTGAACTCTAAGTCCATCTTCATATATTCGTCATTTGATCCCAAGATAAAGTCAACGACCGCTTCAACAACTACCGCACTTCGCTCATTATCTGTTTGTTACAATAAAAAATAAAATTTCTGACATGGAAATTATTTTTAAACAGCCTTTTTTATTGTAATGTGTTTATTCCTATATATAACATTATTGACCAAAAGCAAAAAATATTCTTCAAATATAATTACATGAAGAAATATAAAAAGAGAAAGAAAAAGCATTAAAATAACCTAGGAAAATTAACTCCTGCCTGAGATATAAGGCCCACTCTACAGCGCTTTGGAAGAAAGACATTAAATTTTGCTTACTGTCAGAAACACACACACTGAATTTTTCATCTAAAAAAAGGTGGGGTAAATTAATTATAAAAATAAGTAAAATAAAATAAATAGTTCATATTTTGGAAATAAAAAAATGAAAAAAAAATATATCAGATGAAGGGGATGGGAGTTTCAATTACAATTGGCACATAAACATTCTGCATCGGAAACTGCCTATTTATCAGCCGTCTTTTAATGTAAGATTTGTTTCGGCGCATATACACATCACCGTCTTCTTAAGGTAATTCCCGTCCATCGCGTATACGCGGCGGACGTTCCCAAAGGTTTAAATATACTTACAGTTGTCTTCCGCTGTGATCTCAATAAAGAGGAAGGTTCCTGCATCCGGTGACCCAGGGAATCGTCTTCATTGTTATCTTCCTCCGTATGATGATGGTCTTGATAAAGAGACTGAGCTACGAAGGTGGAAAAACTGTTTTACGCCGATGGCAAACTATATTATAAACTAAAGGTTCAGAAATATTTAAACAGATTTTTACACTGTTCCAATTAAAATATTAGGAGATATATACGATAAAGGAATTCATGTACAATTTTAACTAAAGTCTGATGGAATCATGACTCAAAACAAAGCATTTATTTAATAAATCCGATAACAAATTTAGCAATCAACAGCTTGGGCAATAAATCATAAATAGATGCACTGAATAAGTTTCTTTCGATCAAATATCAGTTTGACCCGAAAGAAAATAATAACAAAATCTGTAATTAGTTTGTAACAAAAAATCTACACTTGGTATACTGGTTTGCATCAGAAACAGTGTAATTTGAATCTAATTACACATATTCCTTTATATAAACGTTCGCCATTGGAGATACCGCGTTGCTTTTGCTTATTTATATTATACATGGAGTCTTACAATTACAATAACAGATTAATTTGAAACACGAACTTGTTCAGAAAGCCGTTAAGAAGAGCAAGATTGCGCCTGTCGTTGGCAAGACCCTTGAACATCGTACAGGTGACAGTACGACTTCGCTCAGTTTCACCTCCAATTTTGATCGAGAGCACCCCGAGAGGACGTGTCCCACCCCTCGTCCTCTACCATCAAACTCTCGACAGGTCTTTCGGCTCGCCATGTATTCGGAGTGTCCCTGTGCCGCAAAGACACTATACATTCACAAATATTCATGCCTTCTCCGGGATTCGAACCCGAACAATAGGAAATAGGCTTCCTTAACCACTATACCATCTGAGCGGCGGTTTGCGCTGTTCACAGCAGTGTTGCCAGATCGTGGAGTTTTTCACAAATGTGCGACTTTTCAGAAACATGTGCTACTAAAATTTTAGTGCTTGCGATTTTTGCGACTTCCATCATTTCCTTATGCTACTTTTTGTGACTAGAAAGAGTTTTATCGTAAAATGCTTATATGTTAAAATAATGTATCAATTAAAAATAATTTATATTAAAAAAAGTTTATTTAGGCATAAATAGAAATTGGAATCTGGCAATCCTGTTTACATGTGGGCTTTACTTTTCGAGGTTGCACAGCCTGACGCCGGTATAACGAGAAGGGGGTAAAGGGAAGGGGAAACAGTGGGAAAGAAATATAAAAAAATTCTACGGGATATCTCTCCTCCCCCCTGGTCCCCCGTGTGTTTTGTTTTTAAGTCAGTCCCCCCACCCAATTTTATGGTGATAAGAAATCGAATAAGAGAACTTGCAGCTTGCACGCCATATATTGGGTACCCAAACAGAGAAAGAAATGAAATTCATTTTCCTGATTATAATATTGCTAAGAACCAAGCAATGGAAATGACATAAAACTCAGCGTAATGGCATTTTTCTAAGTAACAACACAAATAAATTTAACAGTGAAATAACAAGGCTTTCTTAAGTAATCAGAATCTGAAATAAGCCCACCACGCAGAACGGAAAACTCACTGAAAAAATTCCTTAATTAAAATGTTCACAACTGAGCATAAAACAATGAATTAAAAAAAAATTAACTGGGAAGCCAAAAAATTTAGTTCAAAAGGGCTGAAACGTGAGGCATCTCTTCAGAATGGATATGCACAAATTAATTTAAAAACCTAAATTACATGAGAATTAATTAAAAAAGTAACGGATATTTAAACAATTAAAAATAAGCAATATACTAGTTATAAAAAATTTTTAAAGCTAAGCTACGTAATTAAAACGACTAAGAATTGAATACAATCTGTAACATAAAGAACCAATTGACAGTAAATTCGTGATGACGTAAGAAGTCATTTGAGCATGTGCAACTAACGTCACAAAAGCATGTGATTTCTGACATTATTTGCGATTTTTTGAGACCTTTTGAGGCTTCATTTCCAACTTTAGTTGAAAAATTTCTGGCAACACTGGTTCACGGCTGTATTACGTCGTTCGGTTTAAAACAGTTTTGTTGTCAAAAAGAAATTCCGTAATTTCTTTGTATACTTGCTATTAATTATTAATATCAGTACAGAAAATTAATTATTTAAAAGTTTCCGCCAAATAAGTAATTTTTCGAATAAGGTCAGCATATTCTAAATCAGGGTTATCAATCTCTTTTGCCCTGTGTACCCCTTTCACCACCGCTAGAAGTTCATGACCCTCTTTTCCTCTCCAGAACTTATAAAATACGTATATATTTATTTAGGTTCTGTAAGTGGATCTATGGATGTCAAGTAACCTTAAAAGAAATTAAAACGCTACTATAATGTAAATTTAAGAAGGCAACAGCACGTTTCCAGTAACTAAACACTGAGATTAATATTATACGGCAGAAGGAAAGGTCTAAAAATAAAAATGAAAATGAACAGAGAGAATAAAAGTTGATAATACGGTAGACCGGATGATATGCAAGGTATCTGAATTAAAATGGAAATAAAATTATTTAATGATTAAATATTTTTCATATCATCTTGTATATGAAACTTCAAACGGTGATAGGAACATGTTCAAATTTTCATCACCATTTAAATACTGTGTCTGTTCAAGTTGAACAACAAATCGAGGTAAATGAAACAACGATTTGGATTAAAATTTATGCGTCTGAAACCTTAAATGTTTAGAAATAGCAGTGAAATAACTGAGATGGGGAGATTCTAACCCAAATTTAACTTTACAGTTAAAACGAATTTGTGATACAATGTTTCTTAAAAGATAAATTTTAAAATAAAACAAAAAAATCTATGTTTGCTAATTAAAAGAATAATTAATTAAGCTTTGGTAAAACTACTAAAAAGTGGAAAGCGACAAACATCGATAGTGTCCTGAGGGACTTTTAAGACTGCACGATACCACTTTGTAAGTAATTTACATTTTCTGCCCAATTATCCAAACCTGGAAATCCCTACAAGTTTGCATAGTGGCTTTTTATTGTATAAGATCAAGATATTTTTTTAACTTATGCATAATTCATAATTCCTTGAACTTTATGAGTGGCTTCATTTAAGAGAACCTTTTTTAAAAGAAAAAAATTATTAAGCACATAAATTCCATTTTTTCATTGATAACCAAGAATGACCAGTTAATTACATATTTATTTTCATACAAAATAGCTGAGAGATGGAAAGCGGGAAATTACGGTAATGGCTGAGTCGTTGAGATTACACAGGGTCTGGAATAAATTTTACATTGTCTACCGAATTATCCGATCTTATTCGAACTGGAAAGGCCCTACGATGGATAATAGAGTTCTGCAGTATATTATTAAGGTAATTTATAAAAGAACATATAAATGACTATACCTTATGAATGACCTTTTAGAAGAATGTAAATGACTTTAATAAAGAAGTATAATAAATAAAGATTTAATATCTAAAGGAAATCTCGAAATGTGGAAAGCAACAAATGTCGATATTATCCCAAAGGAACCTTGAGATTGTACGATAGAAACCTAGTATAAAATTTGCATTATCGATCCGATTATCCGAAGTTTCGTGTACTCGAATTAGAAATTCCTTACAATTTCGTAATTAGGCTATCAAAAGCTATTAAAAATAATTTAGCTATCAAAAGCAATATAACCTAGCTATATATAAAGCATTATAATCTAGTTAACAAAATCAGTTTAAAGATTGTGTATAATTAATTTAACCTCGTGAATGACTCTAAATTTAATGTATAGTCACTTCTGTTATTACAGGAAATTTCATTCGCATAAAACGGGGGCAAAACCCGTGACTAGTGATTTAAAATAAATTTGTCCTTTTATTATTTAAAGAAAATCGAACTGTAATAAATTTTCATAACAGGAGTTTACGTCCTACGATCAACGATCAGTTTCCAAAAATTAAGGTAACTCATTAAATCTAATTAGGATTAATGGAAGTATTGCTTGCATTTGTAATTTGTATTTAAAATTCAAGCTCCACAAGTTTTTGCAATTTTATTAGAGAAACAGCATCAAACTATTTGTAAAAGAATTAAATATAAGTTTCACATTCTGACCTCTTTACTGAGTCCACCAATGGCCGTAAGGATGAGCTGACTGAATATTAGTATTTACACTTGGGTTTAAATCTCAGTGAATAAAATGCTGTAAAGAGATGTTTCCCCGTAATGCGAGTACAAGACAATTTGTTTTAAAATGTTCTTCACGAAAGCATGTGTACTCTAGTGTGGTTAGCTATAATGTAATAAACCTAATTCAGTTAAATCCAACCTTCCACACTGACTATAAAACGAAGGCTACTTAAGCATTATTCAAAGAGTTTTCAGTCTTTGTTTCTAGAGTATAGCAAAATATTTCTGCTGTAATCTGATATATAATCTGCTGTCATCTCATATCTAATGTTTTAGTCGATTTCTCAAGAAGGCACGTAGACTTCTTTTATTTTCAAAGTTCAAAGTTAGACGTTTTTGCTCAAAGTTTAAAGAAAATCTCATATTCGTCCACCAATTCCTTTATGTCATCACTCAAGGGTCATTAATGACGAATTTGTCAGATCTGGTGAAACCAATCCATCCCAGATAAGCCGCAACGGAACTCATTCACACTAAGCGGTAAAGAAAGACAGAGAACGAAAGACAAACTCTTACTGGAGCCGCTCCTGTTGGCTTGTATAGGAGAACTTCCCAGATTCTCGAGTAACTTCCGGGATCGTGTGGGCATGTCCGGCAGTAGAGGCATAGCTGGCGTCACCTCGGTTTCCGGGGAAAAATGGCCAGGGGTGGCGGAGAGAAGGATGTCCGGTGGTTCGTCCGTCGGGAATGTGGAGGCTATCCGAGCGATACTCTCGTCCATGGCTGTTTCTGGATCTGGGGCAGCAGACTCCTGAAAATATCCGCTGTTGGCCTGCTGTTCCTCCCCGTACCACGAATCCCCCGCTCGCACATCGCTATACTCCATCCTAGCAGAAGATACATGAGAGAAATTAGTTGAAAGAAGAAAGATTTTGAATAAAAATGAGATACTTGACAGAAATAACTGTAATTTAACTAAAAAGTGTGGTTTGCTAATAATAAACGTCTTGGAACATCAGTTTGTTAGTATAAAACTTCCTGGAAATGATGTATTTATTTTGAAAATACAGAATACAGGCACAGATGTATTTAAAACAGATATATACTCAGTCGAAATAAACGTAGAACCAGATAATATGTCAGGATAATACTGTTTATAATACTGTTGTTAGCATATATATGTAATATAGAGAGATACTGATTAAGACTTGATTACACAGGGTATCCTAAAATAGTGTCACCCAATTCTCCCAGTACATGCTGAAAAATAAACATTTCCTGTGAACATATAGCAAAAATAGTACATTTTACGACTTACGAGATGTTAAATATCAATGGCAGGCATGCAGGCTAACTGGACTCCCAGGAGAATTGTGGTTCTGTCGGCCTGTGTTTTAAATGTGTTACCAGAACTTAAAAAACAAAACTCACGATCTGGATGATGAACAAAAACCGGAGTTTGTCTCAAGACACTCTGTGACAAAATATACGGAGGCAGCTAACCTTTGCATCCTCAAGTTATATTCAAAATCCTCTAAGTAGCAAACTTATATATTTCATGTTAAATTTTCATGTGATACCATTTTTCTTATTTTTAACCGAAGAATACATTTACTAGGTTTAGTGATTTTTCTCTGGAATATCTTATATAGATATATATCCATTTTAAAAGTAGGAGTCTTTCAATTTGAGAATATTGACTTCAGCAACTAAATAAAGACACACATTTGTATTAATTTCTAGATTGGGTTGCTAAATAAAATTGTAAATAGTTAGTTCATCCATTTGCGTTCAAATGAGGGGGAAATAGAGACGGCTTTGCCTAATTGCCATTAATATGTTGTACCTTTTCATGCACTGAATAAGTTTCAAAGACTCAAATTTCAATGTTAACATTCAGAATCTGCGAAAAGAAGAAACTCGACTGCTTTCAAGACCATGTTTATAAACGACAAACACGAAAAAAACATACCTGTTTCTCGAGGTTACATAAGATCCTTGGTAGCTCGTTCTCGGGTCTAAATTGCTGTAGGAGGCCCAGGAAGAACGAGACAAGGGTCCGCTGTATAAATCCTTGCGCAGTATTTCATCGATGGCCTTCAGGACACTACTGGTATCATCTCCGTCAGATGTACGAGTTGGGGCAACCAGTGTCTGTTCAGAGGTGCGGTAAGAAACCGAGCTCGTTGGCGAAGGGACAATGCTACCCCGACCTGGAGGAAACCAGATTCTATTTAAATTTTTTAAAAAGAGGCAAATTCTTGTTGGAGATCTGAAGAAATATTTCAGAACTTACAAACTAATAGTCCTAGGCCTTGTCATTGCCTTTCGCTATTTATGCACAGATACCATAATATCACCTCATCATGATAATATTGTAGCAATAAGAATGGCTGCGACAGATATCTCTGAAGCATTCCGGAGGAAGTTTTCTGTGCTTGTTTTCATAAGCCCCAGGACACGGTTGCAGCAATGCATACATATTTGAATACTGTTACTAAGGACAATTGACTGGTAAGTTGAATAAATAAAGTCTTTATGAATTGAATCCTGAAACCTTTCTGTCAAAGATTACACTACTATTTTAGGGGTTGGTCTGGATCTTATGTTATGAATTCTCACAAGAGATGGCTCTAAATAAATCAACATATATTGAAAAGCAGAACGGATTATTGTCCTCTCTAGAGGTTTGTAGTAGAGAAAGTCCTTCTCATTCTTACTTTCCAAAAAACTGTCGTAAAACGTGAAGCTTAAATAGGTAATTCTCGTTAACTTCACTTAAATGAAAAAAATCGAATCTAATTCAGATCGTAAAGATTTGGTAAAATTAATCACTTAGAACTAATTTTTTTCACAACTTTTAATGAAATAAATATATTAAGTTTCCTCTTTAAAACCGAATTACGAAGCTTTTTCTATTTCTATGTTTAATAGTTATTTACGTATCATTTTCTTCATTTATTTTTAATCAAATCCATATTTATAAACTTTGTTTTAAATACAGATATTTTGTTTGAATAGACAAACAAAACATGCACACAAAGTTTCAAGAATATATTAACAGTTGGTTCAATGTAAATGATGATGTTGTTATATCAATATTTCTGTACAGTTTCATAAACAACGTTTGTTCCTGTTCTTAAGCAACAATAATTAAAGAGGGAAACACAAAATTAATAACAACAAAAAACCTATTAAATTTGTTCAGCAACTCATTTTAATTTAAATAAATTCCTACGCCAAGACCCGTGACAACAGGAGAAATGGCGACTTGTTATGCTATGTAAGTGATAAATAAAAGATCTGATATCGAAACGGTTTTCTTAAATTCGGGACTCAAAGCTACGTACATTTCTAGCGCCAAAATGTTTTCAAAACAGACAAAATTTGTCCAAGTAACAGACTTTGCTACATGTTATTTTAATGACATGTGCAAAGTAATAAATGTACGAAAAGGAATTAAATTCATCTGCGTTTCAGAAAATGACATGGTTTGGAAGGAGACGACAAAGCAAATTGAAAAAACTTCTGATATACTGAAAGACCTTAAAACATACTTATTGGGTATAATCAACAAACCAAGAAAAATAAGGAATTCAACGATTCAGCTTCCTGAGTGAAATAGATTAGCAGATCAGCGGGACTAGTGATTGATAAAATAGTGTTTAAATCCTCTGTTACCAAGAAAGAACCAAAGACCTAGCTATTACGTCTTAGATCACATATTTCGATGTACAGATCATTATGTTTAGGAATAGTTTAAGTTCTTAAAATTTTTTGTTAAGAACACTCATTATTTTAAATTAATTTTCGTTAAGAAACTAAACTTCGTAAAGATTATTGAGCTTAGAACAGTTTAAATTCTTAACAGTTTTCTTAAAAAATTAATTTTTATTCATATTATACATGGTAATAAAGTGAATAATATATATCCATGCGGAAATGAAATAGCATTAAGTTAAAATAAGCTGATGTTAACCATCAATAATATTAATCATTCATGAGATTACAAACCTACACTTCGGATAAAAGAATAATTGTTTAACTAAAGCATTTCATCAGGGAAGCAAAAATTAGTCACGTTTGAAACTAGAAATTTGGTCAGTGAAACAACTAGTGAGACCACAAATTTTATTTTCATGAAATTTCACTAGACTACTCACTAATAGTACTCAAGTCTCCAGTCTCACATATAGAGACCTACGGCTCAGTAAAGATATCTTCAAATAACTAACAGAAATGAACTTTCGATTAAATAAAACAGGTGTTACAAGGAAAATAAACGGCTATAAAAAGGCCGAAAATAAAAAGAAATTATCCTTAACGCTCAAGGAATATCGCAGATGGGTACTTACGTATTCACATCAGTAAAAGTCTCCAGATGTTTAGGATGTACCAAACTCTGGCAACCATGTGCATGACCATTCTTCTGGTAACCATGCTCACAACATACAACATTTGTTTCAATCAAACAACGCCGCCATTTTCGTATCTATTTCATGTTAAAACTGTTTTTATGAACAAATCATGATACTTTTAGCTTTAAACTGAGTTTTAAAATATGAGCTTGAGGATTTGCCCGCAATGAAAGAAACTGCTGTAAAATTTCGGCAAGAATGCAGAATTTCGTTCAAAATTTTCTAAAGAGAGAAACGAGGAAATGCGTTTCCTAGATAGCCGCTCTTACCGAGGATTATATGAAGCCGATTTCCCGCAGTTCTCTGATGTTTTATTAAGCGAAAGCAGATCGCTGTATACTTCGGGAGAAGAATAACCCAAGAAATTACAGAAAGATTTGAAGAAGACTGTAATGTTTTTATTTTTAATGCATCGCATCATCTTTATTTAATAATTCAAACTTTTATTTTAAATGCTAAAGTATGGTTTTTTTTCCCATGTGTTGATAATGTTAACCCACTTATGATGAATATGGATTGTCTGGGAAACTTACTCGTAAAAAAGACGCAAAAATTAACAACTTGCAAGCGATAACTAGCTTTCATCTTTTCATATGTAAAAAATCGCCAGACCGCGTCAAGGTGGTTGTGTTAAGACCGCGGTGGTTGTGTAAGTACGTCACAGATATGCAAAATCGCTTGCAGACCAAAATCCAAAGTAGTACCAGTAAGCCCGATATCATGCATGCATTTGTTTCACGTGAATAACTGTCTCAGGCAATTTTTCTGCCTGGTTTACTAATGAAAGAAAGGCGAGCGATTTTTTCCTTCCTTTCGAAAAAAATTGAAAGTTGTCCGTTTTCAACCAATCATCTTCGAATGCTATAAGCTTGCTTGTAATGGAGAACCATTTTCCGCTCTGTTAACCCCAAAGTGATCTGTGGTGATTGGCTGTTATTGTGACAAAGCAGAAAAATTGTTCCAAATAGTTATTCTTCTGAAACAAACTGATGTGTGATAGCAGCTTAAGCAGAAGTTCAGCAGTGTAAACCCCCTAAGATTCTCAATTCAGCCGGCTCATAGCTGTTCATAACTTCAGATTTATAGGGCTGCACGAGGCGGTGAGGAAAAACTTTCATAATGTGTCAGAAAAGTCGCTCTTTTCAGCTTTCAAAATGCAATTTCCAGAAACTTCTAGATTAATATTTTTAATTAAGAAGATTAAAATTCTATACTCTTAATTAACAAGAAATTTCCAAATGAAGCCAACATGGCGCCACAAATCGTTTGCTGTGGTCCATAACGAGGGATATAGACAACATCTCCAGTTCTATTTGCGTTATCCTTACAGTTTCAATGTCAGTCTACACAGGATTAAAATATCTGTCTCATAATACGTGAGACAATCATATGCGAATAAATTAAGTGGTCATAAATTTCAAAATTAAATTAAATACACAAATTATACATAAAGTTTCTACAAAAAATGTTCTAAATAAATAAAATCAAATACATAAAATTACAAAAAATGCATAAAATTTAAATTATAAACAAATAAAAATGTTTGAAAAATATCAACAGTATCTACATGTGCATGGTTATTTAAATCAAAAACATATTCACCTGCTTCCATCCTATCCCGGCGTTCAGCCAGTTTACAAAGCTCATCGTGCAATCTCATATTCTCCTCGATTTGTTGCCTGCGACGAGCAATTTCCGCTTTGATCTTCGCCTTTTTCTCTTCTCGAGTTAACTGATCATCTTCGTCCTCAGAAACATACGGCGATGGATGCCAAGAACGTGGTTTTCGAGATTTTTTTTCTTTCCTGAAGAAATTAGACATTTGAGAAAAAAACCTGCTAAGTAACACTTCTAGCGAATTTAAACAGATTAAAAGAGTCATTTTACATATGTAATTTGCAATCTATTGAAATATAGTCACCGATAGTTCCAGATAAGGTTAACATTATAGATATAGAGCTATCTTAGAGAAGTCAAAAGTCAGTAATTTTCATGGTAACCTCAACCTAATCAAGGCTTTTGGAATCTGCTAAAAAATGCCGAAGTAGAAGTGTATATTACCCTATTATTACCACCATTATTTTAATAACTAAACTAAATCTCTAAAACTAAACTCAGTGGCGTAACAGCCCTAGTGGGCCAATGCCTACAGTGCCGCGAAATCTGCTTTCTTGACCGTGGGCCCCAGATTGCGCAAGCATATGCCCTGAACTAGTGGTCGGCTTGCCCCCCCCCAGTGCTTAGTCCCCAAGCGAACTTGGTACTCATTTTATCGACCGAAAGGATGAAAATCAAGGGATGAAAGGCTGAGTCGACCTTGCCCAGCTCAAGGATCGAACCCCGGAGAAGCAATTATGTACGGCCAGCGAAGCTGTTTGTATAATGTATTTGTTGCAAATATGTTCTTGAGAATATTTCAGATATTTAAAAGTCCCAGATAATATTATCTTAATTTCATTCAAAAGTGAACATAAATAACGGACCACAAAATCTCAATAAATGGAGCTAATTAATTTACAATGTGATATAAAGCATATTCAATTATTTAAAGATACAGTTTTGATTAGATTTGATTCATACTTGTCAAATATTAAATGCATTCAGTTACGAATTTTTGCATTAAGAAAAATCGCTTTGTTTGGGAATACATTTTATAGTTTTGATTTGTTTTGGTAGCATAAAATGAGCCATACCAGACTTGAAGCGAATTACAGCTTCCTCGGAACAGAACTGCAAAGTCTTAAGTTTTAAACCAGAACTAGAACATACTAAATGCACGACTCGTGCTTGAAATTCAGCCAAACACTTGTGGCGATGTAACTTAAAGGAACAGTAAATTCAAATTTAAAAAAGGTCTAGCAGCCAACGGCTACACGAATGATTTAAAGCTCAGTAGGTTCAAAATTTCTCACCAGCATAACAATTTGAATATCAGCAACTATAATGCAAGGAGAAGAATGAAATTTTAACTGATCTAGCTAATCTAGAAACGTGGCCTCGAGAGTCAGAATCATGCTCTCCCGTAAATTCCGAAAATCTCACATTAAATACTCTGAAATTAATTTACATTCTGGACGGTAAACGGAAGGCAGAAGTGATTATTTAAAATAGCAAGAGCTTTATTATTTATATGTTAACATCTTTTTCTCACAGCTAAAAATCAATAGGAAAGAACTGAATTGACCGACGAGCATCTACAATCCGCGATGAAAATAATTTCTAGTAATTTCTTCCTATAGCTATAAAATGTGTTCTATTCTATTTTCCAGAATCGAAACGCCATCAGTGTCAAGTCATAGTAAGAAATTATATAAAAGAAAATATATAAACAATAAAATCTGAAAGCTTTCAGATTTTACATTACGCCCAAAGAGGCGTTTTTTTAACGTTTTGTGTGTTACCTTTATTTATTAAATATCATGTTTTTCGTACTTAAGCTATAAAATTCAATTCATGTAACTTTTTGTAAACTTTAAATTTAGGTCTGGTTGCTTTAAAAGCTTTTGTAAACTTTAAATTTAGGTCTGGTTGCTTTAAAAGTTGAAGTTGTTTAATTTTAATTTGAGTTTAGGGACTTAAATTTCTGCTTAGTACTTTTGTTTTTGACCCTTAAGGTTGTTTAACTTTTAACTTGTGTGTTAATTATTTTAAAGCCTTGTTGCTGCACTTTTGGTGTATTAATTTTTTTTTTATTTTTATTTGAGGTAACTTATTTTATTTCCCTATTTCTATTAAAGTTTACTGAATTCATATTTTCTGACTGGCGGTAAGGTAAATCAATAGCAATTGAAACTCAATCTGTATAATGAGTGTGTATACTTAATTTCTGCTGATGAAACAATTTATATTGTGCTGACATTTTTAAATAATTTAATTGTTATGTAATAGTTTAATTTTTAATATCCTAAATTCGTTTATTGTGTTGAAAAACTATTCACTTGTTATGTAATTTTCACACCCAAACCGGCGACTTGGAATTCATTCTCAGAATCCCTCATCTGGAGTTTTCTGCAACCCGAAATTATTTCGCCAAGCGTTTTAACACATGTCTGATGTCTTCATCACATGTTCTGATAGCTGCACCACCTGCAGTATTTGCATAACCGGGACCCCGTTTGCTGTGACATCTCTAGGGAAAAACTGTTCTACGGAGAGTTTGTTTATGAGAGTGAAAGGTCGTTGGATAGGATGCTCGCAATGTTGGAGTTGCACCTCGAGACGAGGCTTGTGTTTCCCCCCCCTTTACATGGTTGAACCGCGATAGTTGGCGTCTTCTGGTAGTCAGGAAACCCCTTCTCGTGAAGATTTCTCTGTTTGGGTTGCTGTGCTTGGCGTTTTTCCGATCATCTTACTTCGGCAATTTTTTTCAGGATTTCCCCGAGTACTAAAGACGCTTGTCAGTTGGGACGAGGGGGAAGAAGAGAGCGAAAACAAGAAGCATCGCAGCGTGATCGTCACAGTACCTCTTTAGGAAGTCGAAAAATTCCCTAGGAACGAAGATGAGAAATATGGAATGGCTGCTGAGTATGAGAAGAAAGCAGAACCTGGGAGGATAAAGCACTAGATCCAACGGGAAAGACCCCTGCGCCGCTGAAGGTTTAAATTTTCGCCGAAATTAGAATGACGAGTCTGCCTGAAGGAAATCGCAGAATGGCGGAGTTTCAGGCCGCCGCCTCGGGATCAGCATTTAACTAATATTCTCTTATTTTTTTCTTTTGTTTTACAGGTTTTCCTTCACGGTATTGTACCCTACAACTGCAGTATGAAAAATTAGAATGTTAAGGATGCCAAAGTACTTTGGGAGCGGCCCCCTGCCATAATTTTAGAATGTTAATTCATTATAAGGGATGTGCCTCTTTAGTTTGATATGTCAGCCAAAAATGTTAACGTTGATGACCGCCACCACCCAAATCAAACAAATTGTAACTGTAAACCTATAAAGTCTCTAAATAAACATATGATTGATTTTACTTACTTTTGTATTGTTTTATTTTTAGTCATTTTACACTGGATCTTAGTCATAGAATGGGTTTAATTTGCTATATTTTCCACAACGCAACAGTTTGACCATATTTTGTCTGGTTATAATGATATATGTTCACCTTGATTACTCTTGCTACAAAATGTTTACTTATGTTTGTACATATTCACACTTTTACCTACTACAATATAGGTATTGTTACGGATTTGGTATTTAAATAGCTTATGTTAGTTGAATTGTAAATTAAATGGTTTTATTTCCCGCGCAGTGCAGCGCGTCACAAAGTAAAAGAAAAGCCAAAAATTGAAACAAGAGCGCGGCATGTAACATTTATAAAATCCTTTTTTGATTTCGAGAAAGTACTAGAAAATTCTCGCGGGCGATTTTAAAATCTTATAAAAGGAGGAAAACCTCTCAGTTCGTGGTAGTTCAAAGAGCAACCAAGTAAATAAAGCAAGCGGAGTTTTCATGTCGCTTTATACTGTTATAGGTAGAAAATCGAAATTGAGCTTAAAAGCTAAACGCATGATCTATCTCACTATGATTAGGTCAGTTATGCTCTACGCCGCCCCAGCGTGGGCAATTGCCAATAAGACGGATAGGAGAGAAAACTAGAAGTCCTTCAAAAAATTTGTGAGCCATCACTAACGCGCCCGGTTTGTACGAAATAGCTCATGCATGACTTGAAAATAAAGCCCATTCCTGAACAAATCCTCATGGAGGCGCACAACTTCTTCGAAAAAATGGATAATCTCCAGTGCACACGCTAAGAACTCGGTAATTATGACTCTACGGTGGACAGCGTGGTGAGAGACCTCGGTCAATTCACCATAATGCAGTGGTGATTAATATGTAAATAGTGTACATATGAAGTTGTGTTTGGTGCTCTATCTATTATTTAATCAAAACTGTGTTACTGCCAAATTGGCTATTTGCCTGGAAGCAGGTAGAAACTCTGAATAATTAATATGTGTTAGGACTGTGTATACTGTGGATCTCACCACGCCCACTGCTGTGGTTCTACTCTGATTACCTGCTGGACTGCGCACCCTATCTCAGTAACCTTACGCTACTATCCTGACCGATGCATCATGCATGGACTTGAATGCTGGATGTTGTTTTCCAAATACTAATTTCCCAATTTTTCGTATATCAGCTTGACTTCGCCACGAAATGATGCGCCTTGTTCTAATGTCACGCCCCGGGCGAGCTGCAGTAGCACCTTAATGTACTAAAACCGTGAATGGCCTTCATAGGCTGCACAGATTGAACAGTCAAAACTCAAGTAGTTGTATACCTGCGGAATCAGAATAAATAAATAAATAAATAAGTTTCGTGGTAGTTAGTTAGTTTGTTGATGTTTAAGAATATGTTTAGAAAACTGCTCTGTTGACTGTAGCGAATTCGCGGATTAGCTTTCTTTTGAACGTTTCAGTAGTTAAAAGATAACTACTTTGAGATATTGTAATACTGCACGAATATTTTAGAAATTTAGCATATTTGTTGTGATAATAATAATTTTTTGTTCATTTTTCATCGGACTTGTGCATTCATTTCGTAACGAACCAGTACGCACACAACAGTATTAATATGAATTTTCAATTAAACAGAAATGATGTTTAGTAGTACCTATTAAATATGACTATATGTTATAATTGTTCTAATATAGAGCATTCTCATATTCGGGTCTAGATGTACGTTATTTACAATTGGATGGCTCTAGGTAGCGTTGTTTTACCGCAATGCAAAAAACGTGCATACATTTATGCATATTCTTCATTATTTAATTTCTTTAAATATAACTAGGGCTCTAATATTTGGTAGCAACAATTTGAAAAGTGAACCGACATTTATAGTCAACCAACGCAAAATGCCAAAACGAAATTAAGAGCCCTTTTGTCTTAACGCCCTTTGGGCTAAAAATAACTAATGGTTATATTATTTCCAAGTTTTTTCTCATAAAATTGCGGTGAAAACATTAGGTGGAACTCAGGACCGAAAGGCCTACAGTCATTAGGAAGCACCTAATGGTGGCCACTGTTACCTCCTAGAGGGACGACACCAGCCTTCTCCGGATTCGAACCCGGGACCAGCGCGACGAGCAAGCAGGATCATCAGGGAGAGATGGGCGGCTAGTTTTATCTTTAGACGTTTGGTTAAATGTTTAGAGGAATGAAATTATTAAACGTTTGCGAGTAAAATTGCTCTTTTCTAAAAAAAGACTAACCGCCAGTAGGTTCAGCGTTGCATTCGTTCCAAATGAAAGATTTTTTGTTGGTGTGTTTCCGGTTTGAAAGGAGATACGCAAAGTAGGGTTATCTGACAAAGATAATGGATGCCTTCGTGGAAGACGTTCTAAGGGAACTAGTTCGTATACACTTTATACATGGGGTAAACCACGAAAACGCCCATTCAGCCAGCCCGTTCGCCTGGAATCGAACCCAGTTTGGAACTACCAGTTTTCAGCGACTTTATCGCTCATTAGCTATGTTATACCTAGAAGTTGCAACTTTAATCATAATAAAGAGCATTTAATTTTTTTTAACTTAGCACAAAGCAAATGGAAATAATGAATTTCATAGGGGAAAATGATACCTTTTGCGTCGATCCGTGTTGCGGGACTAGTACTAGATCAGTACAGTCGTCCTTGGAGCGGGAACAAGGGACCTCCACGGGCTGTCATTTGACTCCCTATGTAAGTTTCCTGAAGAACGACGCAATCTAAAAAACGATTTCTTTAATCAGTGCATTTCTTTCACATATATGCTCCACTAGTGATTCCAAAAATGTTTACACATCGCACATCACGGGCACGACCAACTGCCATACATCGTAATGATGAAGTTATATGGGCCTCGAAGTATCACCTGCCTTCTAAATTTAGCCTAGATTTGTATTGCGAGATAAATTAAGATTCAGAAAAGGGGCAATAGAATAACAGAAACAAAAAAGTGGGGCAGAGATTATTGCAAACAGATCAGAGATACAGATGACAGAAGACAATCCCTAGTCGAAAACGTGTCCAAGAGCAAGCATCAAAACCAAGACAAAAGAGGCAACACGAGAAGCTGTGGTCCGACATGTGCAGCGACAGAGGGCACAGAGCCGAAGGCGAAAGGGGCTCGACCTATGGAGAAAGGGACAGGCACGGGGAAAGACACAAAAAAAAGCGGGGGGGAAGGGGCGGCAACGGGGGGCAGTGCAAGCCGTAAACCAGGGGAGCGCCGGCAGGGAAGTAAAGCCAAGTGAGGCCTTCGACGAAATTGGGACGGCAACTTGGAGGCCCGAAGAGGGGGCGCCACCAAAGAGGGGAGGCAGCAGAAAGCAACGTCCCCACTTCTCCGGGCAACGGGGGGGGAAATATAAACATGGGCCCAAGGGCGGGAGCGGCAGACTGGGAAAAGCCGCCATTGGCAAAACTGAAGGAAGCCTGGAGGCGAACCCGGTGTAAGGATGTAGGGGAAGGGGGAGAAAAAACTGGAAAGGGGGTAAAGATACTGGCACAGGTGCGAGAAGGGAACGGGAAACACGCTTCACAGAAAACGGAAACAACCCCGCAGTAGCGGGAAGGCAAGCCAGAGACATGTAGAACCGATCCATGGGAGAGCAACTCCATTGGACGATAGAAAACACACTGGTGTACGCATAGGCACGTGGTATTACTTAATTTGAAAATATAATTGACATAAATAAAGCGGCAAACTTTTGCGAAACATTTATCGATTTTACAGATACCGGGGGGGCCATATGAAACGGACCGTCTCACATTTGCGTGGCGCGAGCTAGTTGCAAAAGAAAGGACGCCAAACATTTTGTAGAATTAAACAACACGGGGGACGAAGGATTCCGCAAAAAAAAATTGTTCCAAAAGTCACCGCTAGGGAATATTTGCCTGTGTAATAGAAAATAGGTTTGACAAATGCAAATTAATACGGATAATTACCTTTTATTATGGATATGCCTTAGGAATTGGATATGTCTTACAGTACGGTATGGAAAATCTTAAAAGATTTCAACTTCTATCCGTACAAATCAGCCGTGTAACAGGAGTTACTGTACCCCGACTATGAACGATTGACTTTTGCTCTCACCTTTCTTCCAGAATGGAGGGGAGCTTGGCGTGATGGTGATCTTATGGAAGAGAGACCCATGTTACCTAAATGGAAAGGGAAGTGAATAACTAAAGCCGCATCATCCCTGATACCCAACTGCCGAATTTAGACAAATTACCATGCAGTCCAGCAATCCCTTCATTTACCCAAAAGTAACTGGTGGGGGTTTCACAGCAAACTTATAGTAGGTCCATTCTTCTATCAGAACATTGACGGTGCACAGAATGCAATATGGTCCACAACAACGGCAGCCACATTGAACCTCATTTGAATGCAAAATAAAAGGTAATCCGTATTGATTTGCATTGTTACCACTCTTTCTATTACACAGCGCCAATATTCCCTAGCGGTGTTTTGGAACTAATTTTTTTTCGCGGAATCCTTCGTCCCCCATTGTGTTTAATCTTCCTACAAAATGTGGCGTCATTCTCGCAAATAGATCGCGCTACAGAACACTGTGAGCACTGTCAGTTTAATTTAAAACCCAGTAGGCGCATCTTAATGTGATCACGTTTGTCCACGGTTATTTTGATAGCATTAATCGAATGATAATATTAAACGAAAATATATCCTTCAAAACTACAATGGAATTTAAATAATTTAATATAAATGCAAGAAGAAAAACACAAATAAGACCTTTCACAGGATTTTAATCAGAAAAATGATAAAATTTGAGTATGAAATATTTATAATGTCTTAAATGCTAAAGTTCCTTTATGAACTGTTCATAACATTTCTGGAAATTATTTGACCGATACTACACTGGTGTGCAAAAATTAAGTAAGAAGTTGAAAAATTAGCATATCAGCTGAACGAAGAGGCAGAGCGGACAGAAAGACCAATCAGGAGATTAAGTAAGGTGATGTACGGTAGCACATGCGCAGATATGCAGGTAGACGTAATGGGGGAGTGTCTGAGTAGTATAAAGCATGTTGTCGGTGTAAGATCAGTATTTCTGGCAAAGAGATTGCACGCCGTATAGCAGTTAAAATCACACCGAGTTGCTGCCTCAGCGAGAAATGGCGAATAATCAATCTGTTAGACGACATCTGGATGCTTTTACCCGAGGTCGAATCATTGGGAAGTTGGAAGAAAGGCCGCAGTGTGACAAGTGTGGCTGCAGAGTTCGGAATTGCTCACAGCATCGTTTCACGACTTTGGAGACAATTTCAAACTACAGGAACAGCTATCCGGGGGTTTAGTAGTGGTCGTCCACGAGGAACCACAGCCGCAGATGACCGGTATATTGCCTTACAGGCCAGAAGAAACAGGCGGCAGACAGCGGGAGAAATCGCTAGACACACGACACAGGCGACTGGACGACCGATATCGCGTTTTACCGTGGCCAGAAGACTGCACGGTGGTGGTCTGTTTGCACGACGCCCTGTACGGTGTGTACCTCTAACGCCCTGCCCATCGGAGAAGGCGTTCTCTGTGGTGCCGGGAACACCGGAATTGGAGAGACAATGAATGGGGACGAGTACTCTTTACAGATGAGAGCAGATTCAGTCTGAGTAGCGATTCTCATCGCATACTCATCTGGAGAGAGCGGGGAAGCCGCAATCATCCCTCGAACATCATTGAAAGGGACAGGTATGGAGGTGGCGGTGTTCTCGTTTGGGGAGGCATCATGCTTGGTAGTCGTACAGACCTTCACATCTTCGACGCAGGTTCAGTCAACGGGACCCGTTATTGTAACGAGATTCTTCTTCCATATGTGCGTCTTTTTAGAGGCGCTATGGGTCCGCAGTTCCTTTTCATGGACGACAATGCACCCTGTCATCGCACAGTAGCTGCCGAACAGCTCTTAGAGTGTGAGGATATTGAACGTACGGATTGGCCGGCACGACCTCCGGATCTCAATCCCATCGAGCATGTATGGGATTTTCTAGGCAGACGCTTGGCAGCTCGTACCTTACCACCAGTAACGATTCCGGAGCTTCGATTGGCGCTGCAAGACGAATGGGCAGCAATGCCTCAACAACTCATTGACACCCTCATTCTCAGCATGGCAGACGCTGTGAAACCTGCCTAGCAGTCAGGGGAGACCATATCCCCTATTAAAGACCGGATGTTTCTTGCTGGACACCCATCACGGGGATGTTTCGGCCTTCAGTCGCATTGCGCTCCATGCTACCTTTTCAATAAAGCTTCTTTTTATCCCTCTGATTTCTCTTTTAGTAAGTGTTGCTTACATTACTCATGTTCTTACGAATTGGGGATCTTACGTACGCATTAAATGTGTTGATTTGGAAAGCTTTTGTACAAAGTTATATTGAAAAAACAACGTCTCGTCCTTAATTTTTGCACACCAGTGTATACCCTTAATCTCAACACTCGGAGGATATCATCATTCACTGGAACAGAACATGCAAATGTAAAATTTTAAATTAGGCAAAATAGCAACTTTAGTCTGGCAGAGATATTTTCAAGGAATCCCTCCCCTTTCAGCAGCAGGGAGGTAAACTGCAGTTTGTTTTCCTCCTGAAGAAGCGGGAACTTGATCACTCTCAAAATCAGTAGAGTAGTTCAAAATCTGTGGTAAACTAAGGTAGCTTTAGCCTAAATTATTTGGTTGACTAAAATCTAAAACGCCGAAAAAGAAAGATATTCGGCGAACTTAATCTCTTACTTTGCGACACTTTACTCATATTTGGCGCTTTTTGTAATCTATTTTGATTTTATATGATAACTGCATCTCTTATTTAACGACTTTACTTCAGTAAAAAATCTTATTCTGGTTTACTTTGATAATATTAACCGAATCGTTCGTCACAATAAACGAAGTATCTCCCTTGTTTTCGTATATAAACGGGCAAGTCTTCCGCAGTTTTGTAACAATCTCGCAATTATAAAATTAAGCACGTTCATATTAAGTAGTGTCTACAGTATACCATTTGATCGAGAAAAATATTCTTTCAAATTTTATACAGAATGTACAAAATCATAAAATATTAACCCATAGAAGGCTAAGGCCTTTGCTCATTTGTTTGCTTAAATAACCTAAAATAATTTCTCCCCTCCCGAACCTTAACGAGCAAATAATGTGGAATTTTCCAATATCGTTTCTAGTTCCTAATAAAGCAGTTTTAGATTCGTAGTGTATATTAAGTCTCCCTTTTTTTAACCTAAAGGTAATCAACGACAAAAGAATCCGCTTACGACAAGACTCTACTATAACCGATGTAATGCATTTAGAAAAAGTGTACCTTAGGTTATTGTGTACTTTAGCGGGAGGGTAGAAACATAGCATGTGATGTGGGTTGTTCAGGCGGCCTTTGGACGTTTGAAGAAAGTCGTCTCGAGCGTTTCAGTCACGAAAGTGTTATTATACACTACAAGTAACACTTACTTTCCATTTCGTTCACAAGAGCCTTTCCCACGAACAGTTTTCAAGAAGTGAAACAAAAGAAAAACGGGTTTCAAAAAATTGAAAAACATAACGGATGTTACAGTTGAATTTGTTCAAAAATAAATCAGTTTCCTGTATAAATAACAAGTAAATAAATAAATTGATTTTGAAGTGCAAATTCGCATATTCATGGTTGAATAGTTTTCGTGCACGCAGATTCCATCCCTTTCCATATGATTTGTAATGTGGAAATTTAGATATTCTTTCAACAAACACTGCTTATATGTCTACCAAATAGTTTGCTAGCCTTTTTTGCATCTTTAATTCATAGTTTTTATAGGATCAAATTCCTTTGTTGACTTCGTAGAATGACAGGAAATTGCAGGTCAAAAATATCACCTCCTCTTACTTTTCAATATTACCTTCTAAGTATAATTTTGAATAAGTAAGCTGTCACAAATTAGACAGAAATAGCAATAAACTTTAATTTTAAATCACCGCGTAATATACTCTAATTAAAATTATTTGATATCAAGCAGAATTTTAATATTTTTTTATCTGAATAAATAAAGCCAGAAATCTTGTCCTGATTAACTTTCTAGAGTTTCCTTACGAACTTTTAAAGAAATTTTATATGGTGTTTCAATCTATGAAATACAATGAATGTAATTGGAATCTGTCACAGATTTTATAGCAATTTCATATTCTTTCCTAAAACACATAGTCGAATTAATATTAAAATAAACGTGATCTAAAAGACTAAACCAAAGGGCATATTTATGATTTGGATGTGCAACTACAGACTCTTAGTATAAGAAATAAAGTGAAAAAGCTTAAAATAATTTCCATTCTTCGGAAAAGTTCCTCAGGAATTAAATGTTTCACAGCTTTTTCTATTTCAGTTTCTCACCTGTTGATCTCATTATTCAGAGTCTGGAAATAAGCGTCTGGACCAACAAGTCTCTGCTGCTGTTCCATGATCCTGTTGTCAGCAAGATAGTCTTGGATTTTGTTATTCAAAACTCTCCTACCCTGGTAAAGGGCCTCAGTAGATCCAAGGCCACTGCCCAGGCTGCCTCCATAACGATGACCGCTGGCCCTTAATATATCAGCCGCCCTTACATGGCTGTCAACGGATTTGAACTCCATTGTTCGGTAACCTGAATAACAACAATGAAAAGAAAGAAATATAAGAAAATATTGTACTTGACACGTGAAAACGTTACAGGTGAAAAATTCATTACAATCAGTATTGAATATGACGACTCGTGTTGTGAACAGAGAATTATTTTCTGGCTTGCTTTTATGAATAATAGGAAGTTCTGGTCCATAATATTTGGATAGTATCAATAATTTCATGATTTTTTACCTCATGAATTGTTCTTTATTAGGTAATGTTAACTATGGTGTGAGGAGCCTGTTGTGGTTTGCCTCGTACAGTGGATGGACAAAAATATGGAAACACCTTGTGAAATGCATGTTTGAAAAAAATGATTGATTTTAATGAAATATGTAGGTGGCGCTGGCATTTTTGACTACTGACGCCACCTATACAACTTCGTAAATGTGCTAAACAGTTCAGTTGTTTGTCGGAGTACTGTTATGTGAGGTTGTCATTGCATTATGTCAGAGTTTACAGACTTCGAACGTGGGCAAATTGTTGGAGCTTGTATGGTAGGTGCTTCCGTAAGCAAGGTAGCCGAGGTGTTTAGTGTTTCAAGAGGTACTGTATCAAAATTATTCCGCATATTTCAAAAGCGGAAAAAAAACATCATCTGCTAAATCACAGCGCGGACGAAAGTGTCCTGAGTGATCGTCACAGACGATCATTAAGGGCAATTGTGACGAAAAATAAGAAGACCACAGCTGCAAAAAGTTACTGCTGAAATGAATGTGTGTTACCGAACCCTGTAAGTACCAAAACAATTAGAAGGGAGCTTCATAAACAGGGAATTGCTGGCCGTTGCTGCAATTGAGAAGCCACTCATCAGTGATGCTAATGCCCGTAACAGGAAAAGGTGGTGTTTAAGTCATAAAGCCTGGACTATAGAGCAGTGGAAGCGAGTAATATGGTCTGACGAGTCTTCTTTCACATTGTTTCCCACTTCTGGCCGAGTTTACGTCTGGGGAACGCCATCTCAAGCCTATAATACAGACTACTTGTTGCCAAGAGTGAAACATGCCGGGGGTTCTGTTATGGTTTGGGCAGCCATATCGTGGTTCTCTGCTAGCCCATGATAACTGTGTCAGGGCACATGACTGCCAAGACTTATGTGAACATTTTGGCCGATCAAGTTCATCCCATGGTACAAACTTTGTTCCGCGATGGTGATGGTGTCTTCCAAGACGACAAAGCCCCTGTTCACACAGCTCACATTGTCCAGGACTGGTTTTCTGAGCACGAGGATGAGTTGTCCCATCTCCCCTGGCCACCACAGTCACCAGACCTGAATATAATCGAACCTTTGTGGTTTACACTGGAACGGAAAGTGCGTTCTCGTTATCCACCGCCAACATCGTTATCTGAACTTGCCACCGTTTTGCAGGAAGAATGGTATAGTATTCCCTTGGCAAACATACAGGAACTGTATTTATCCATTCCGAGAAGACTGCAAGCTGTTTTGGATGCCAACGGGTTTCCTACACCATATTAAGCAAAGAAACATGTTTTTTTAAAGGTGTTTCCATATTTTTGTCCAACCCCTGTAAGTGGCACATGAAAATATAATTGTTTGAAACATCCCACTCTCGATATATGTCATTATCTAATAAACTCCTTCCCCTTCTTCTTTTTGTTCATAACCGAATTAAACAAGCAATTAATGGTCCAAATGTACAAAAATATCCATCACACATTTATCTTCACTGTACTATTGTATTTGAAGTTTAAGCATAAAAAATAAGTGTAAAATATATGTGTAAAATGTAAGTCAAATTATAAGTTATTTTCTACCTCTTTTCTGAGCGTCTTCGTGGTGTAATTGGAAATCATTTCAGGATAGCATTTGGAAGGTTCGAAATTAGAGTCCCGGAGAATGCATTGCTTCTTTTTTCAAGATCCTTGCTTCAAAAATGTTTTTATAGACTCTACGCGTCGCGTTCTAATTAAAAGGTGGTAACAACAATTCCGTGCAATTAGATTTGACCACTGTATATCCTCTTCCCCAGTCGGCCCATTAAAAGGAGGAATGTGTAAGATATGTTCTCTCTTCTTAGTGTGCCTTCGTGATGAAATTTAAAAGCACTTCTGGCAAGCAAATGAGAGGTTAGGAGTTCGAAATCTGAAGAAGAAACTTCACAATTCTCAGGTCTCTTGCTTCGAAATACACTAGTGAACAATTGCTATGGACGGATCACAGATGGCTATGTAGCGCGTAAGAAAGTAAGTGAAGTTGGACGCCAAGTGAAATAAAATAATACCAGAATACAAGGACATAATAAAGTTAATTCATTGCGTTCTGAAATCCAGAAGGCTTTGAAAAGTGTTCGAGGGAAAATATGATCACTTTATGCTGAATGCGTAAAGGGAGGAAACCGTCAGCAGGCATTCCGGTGTACAATATCAAAACAAGATATGGCCAACATGGAGGGCGATGCAATATTGCACACGTCGTGCCATGCTTTCCACAATATTATCCAGCAACTGTTGGGATAATTTATTCCATTCCTTTGTCAGTGCACAGATGAGGGTGCTCTTTTCTTATTAGACGGCATTGTCGACCAGCAGGACTCTTCGCCAAAGCATCCCAAGCATTTTCAATGAGATTCATATCTGGAGAACCTGCTCGCCATACGAGGCGTTGAATATTCTCGCTCTCTAGGCACTCCTGGACAGCGACTGTTCAATGACATGTTGCGCTATCGTCCATGAAAACAAATTTATCACTGATAGCACAACAGAACATGTGAACATGAGGCAGCAGAGCATCGTTAATGTGTTGTTGGCCAGTCATAGTACTAGCTGGAAGCACATAGAAGGATTTACGGCCATTGAACATGATCCCAGCCCATACCATGACGCTACTTATAGGATATTGGTGTCTTTCCTGGATGTTTGCGGAACTATATACAGTACCACTCTTATGCTATATAAGTTTTCGTTCACAGTTAAACGAGAGACTGAACTTACTTTCATCTAAGAATGGTACACAAGCCCAGTGGTCTTCCCTCTAATTGCGATACTGACGACACCATTGCAAGCGGTCGGAACGGTTACATTTCACTAATAATAAAGCAGGCGTATAGTCCTCCTTGACGCAAACCTCTGGCTGAAGTTTTTCGGGGGATTCGCTTGCAAGTAGCAAGTAATTGATCTGCTACCACAGTAGCTGTGCCCCGCCAGTTCCTTTTCTCGGTAGCACTATGTACCTCTCTTCTGCAGGCGTCGTACAGCGAACATGATCTTCCCCCTATGCATTCCATTTGTTTGAAATGATTTCCAAAATCTTGATATAATACTGTGGCTGACGACAAACTCCCTAACAATATGTGTTATTTTTCGCCCTTCTTCAATCTTGTCAATAACACGACCACGCGCTAAATCATTTAAATAATGTTGGGAAGACATATTGAAAATTGCAAGTTCATGAACTGATTCTTTCCTTTAAAATTTTGCTTTTGAAGAACAACGGTCAATAAGCATCAAATCCCTTATATCTCTTATCAGCGCTATCACGTGACGAACAACTTCGGTAATTCAAAATTTACATACGCACAACACGTCTTACTGTATCCCACACTTATGCTAATTTCCACATTTTCCTGCCTTCCATTTTGTTGTTGCTACCACTGCTACCGTCCTTAGCAATTATCCACCAGTGTATCTATGATGGTCTCTAAAAGTAATTTTTATTTGCATGGAATTACGTCTATCAATTCTGAAAAATATCAGTTTCTGTATTAAGAATTAAAAACATACAGATTTTGGGCAAATTTTACTATAACTGTTAAATACAATATAATTTTAGCATTCTACTCACCATACCTAGTAATTATAAGGAACGAAAAACATCTGATAAGTTATTCAACTTAATTAATGCATGATGCATATTTTACTACATGCTCAGAGTCTCATGTTAATATAATTTGACAAACAACTAAATCTTTATGCGTTACCCATGCAACCGGATCAATACGTGAGAATGAAAGTATAGCTCATAATATGGTTCAAAGAAAAAGTATACATTTGTGGCCAGTATGTTAGTAATATAATCCGAACGATTATGCATCCGAATACAGTAATGAATCTGATATGAATTTTATAAATTAAAAATTCCTAATATGTTAATTAATATGTTGAAATAGACAAATTTTAAATATTTTATACATTTAAAGATGTTTTTAAATCATATTGTTGCTAATCATATAGCTAGTCATATTTTATTGCTCTAATGAAGTTTATGAATGAAAATAGGGCGCTAGTAGGAATCTTCTGTTAAAATTGAATTTTGTATTTATATGGGTTTTGGATATCTGTGGTGTTCTATGTTGTGAATTTGTGTTTATGGAATTTTTTGTTTGTTTGTTAGTTTGTAATTTTGTGTTAGATTTGCTTATTTAGTTTTGATTTTGTATTTTTGTTTGTTGTTTGGGTTACTGGCTACCCTCGTTTGTGGAGATACGGGGCCCCTTCTTTTGAGCTATGGGGACACTCGTGTCCAGGTGGGCAGAAGGAAGCCTCCAATTCTTACATTTAAAGATGTGAAAAGAAGTAAAAAATTTTGCTATGTTTAAGAAGTCATATAAAATAAATTTTTAAATTCGATTTTTGTTCTTTCATTTTCAAATTTAAAGGCACTAAATGATATATCCCATATTTTACTATCATACATTAGTATATATAAATGATCCTGAAATAACGGTTTTAGGCAAAGATTTTGTTAGGTATCGTAAGTTTGCTGTAAGTTTAGAAGTTATAAAAAATACACTAAGTTCACCGTAAGTTTCAGAAGCCATTCGTTAATAAACAGCATTAAATATGTAATTATTTCGCACCTATCCTCAACGAATAATAATCACCAATGCTTACTTAAAGTTTTATATCATAAATAAAAATTTAGATGTTTAAAAAGTGCAATAAATGAGCACTAGAAGAATTTTTTCCTCTTATTTTTAGAAAAGGCAACAGAATAAAATATATATTCAGTTATATTATAAGATACACGCATTTCTGGTGTCTGTATCTGAATACTCACCAGCTTGCTGAGCTTGAACCTGCGTATAATACTGGATGTATTGGGCAGGCTGCTGCCGCATAGGAGGATGGTGCAAGGTGTGAGCCATCTCATGAGACTCCATTTGTGGGAAAGGTGGCACTGTGATTTCGCTTGTGTGTCTTCTCCTGCCTTTCTTTGGAGATGGCTGGGTTGCCATTTTAGATTGAAGTCGGCGCAGTGATTCTATGCTGGTCCCAACTAAAGCCGAAGAAGGGGCAACTGTCGTCGTGGGTGGTACACGATGCCGTTTACCATCATGCCATTGTTCAGAGGCCGATACAACAGTCGTAGTGGCAGTTGTCATTATCGTAATATCATCATCGGAAGAACGATGCGTCAGTGCATAGGAGGGAACGGCATCAGGTAAAGAAGTCCTCACACCAGTCGGCTGAGGTGTATTACGCCCAGAATACAGTGCCTGTTCTTGGCTCACGTGCTGAGCATAACTCTGCGCCTGGTAAGACGTTTGGGGATACTGATGCAACTGTTCTTGACTTTGGTAGGGAGATTGTATCTGTGGTTGAGTACGGTACGGAGAAAGTATATATGTTTGTAATTGGGATGCCGACGATTTGGGCTGTGTTTGATAAGGGGAATGGGCAGGTGACTGCATTTGCTGATACAAAGAGTCATTACGAATTTGGCCTTGCTGATCTGCTATCTGTGTTTTATGAGGCGAACTTGCCTGACATGTGATAGCTAACCTAGTTTCTTCTCTCCTTTCATTTGTTTGTGGCTGAGTTGATGTTGGGGTTAGACGCGTATGCACGCTTTCTCCTTCCCCTCTTTCCTTTCCTCTTTGTTCCAACATCACTTTTCTATCTTCTGTCACAGCTTTTAATTCGTCCCTGAGTTGTTGCTTAAGGTTTTGCATATATTGAGGTAGTTTAGTACCTGATGCTTCCCCACCTGGGCTAGGAGTTCTAGACATCTCTGCTCGCCTGCCCAGCAAAGGAGAAAGGTTATCACCACCAGGTGTCGGCGAGGGAGCACCCAAGGTATGCGCGGGAGAATACTGTCTTGAACTTTCAATTGTCGTAACTACTGTTGTTGTTACCGTCATAGCAACTGCTGGGGAAGGCATCTCAATGTCAGTCGAAAGATCGTGAGATTCAGACACACCATTCTTATTTCTTTCTTGAGTTTTCCTAGTTGGACTCGGAGAGGAAACTTGGTCTTGCGGAAGATTTGGTAGCTTCCTTCGGAGTCGGACAGACTTTATGCTTTCCGCTTCGCTCTGTGTATCTGATGAGTCACCTGCCTGCTGCGGAAAAAATAAATATATAAATATATAATGAAATAAAACTAAAAAATTTTATGACAAAACCCTAAAATATCTTTTATTTAAAATTTTTATTGAAAAATATGCAACGCCTTCGACGGGAATCGAACCGCGAAACTCTGGAATACGCGCCCAGCCTGCAGACCACTACACCACGAAAGCATGCCAAGAAGACGGCGGAAATACCTTATATACTCCCCCTTTTAAAGGGCGACTGGGGTTTTTAGGGGACTCAATCGCCAAATCCTGGATGTGGAGAATCATCATCGACCACCCTTTTAATTCGGGTGCCACTTGTAGAGTCATTAGGTTATTTCGAAGACGGAGAGGTGAAAAATGTGCAACACCTTCGCCGGGAATCGAACCGCCGAACTCCGGAATACGCGCCCAGCGTGCAGACCACCACACTATGGAGAAATGGCAAGAAATCGGGAGAAATACCTTATACACTAAATCTAAAATATATAGGGCATTGAACTAAGTAGTATCGTCACTTAACTTAATGGCGCATTTAAATTACACTCATGTCCATAAATTAAGGATAATGCAAAATCAGACAAAGGAAGAGTTAGAAGCAAAACAAATTTGACTTATCTGTAAAGCTTATTTATTAAACAAAAGGTAAAAAGAAAAAAAAAGTTGTTATATGTTTGATATTATTAAAAAAATTAGCGATTTTTTCTCCCTGGAGCAAATTACAAAAAATAACCTATTTACAGAAAAACAATATTACATGGTTGGTATGATTGTTAATACATTGTATGTCTCCCAGACGATGCAATACAGTCCGTACAACGCCTAGGCATACTGAGTATCAAATTATCGATCTGATCTTGGGTGGATATTATACCACTCAAAAAGCAATGCTATCCGAACTTCCGGTAGACATGTAGGAGGAGGTTGACAGGCTGCAACTCGTCGGCCAAGCATGCCCCACACGTGCTCTACTGGATTCAAGTCCGGTGAGAATGCTGGCCAGTCCATACGGGTAATATCCTCCGATTGAAGGCATTCGCTTACGATGTTTGCACGGTGAGGACGTGCGTTGTCATCCATAAACACAAATTGTGCGCCCATAGCGCCCGAAACAAACGTACATGTTGTTCCAGAATGACGTCCCGATAGATTTGGCTTTTCATGGTTCCAATTTGAACATGCAGGTCAGTTCTGGAACCCAGAATAATTGCACCCCAAACGAGCACTCCTGTACCACCGTAACGGTGTCGTTCAATGATGTTTTCTTGGAGGTAACGGGTACCTGGAGCTCTCCATATGAAAGTCCGGCGAGAATCAGACTGCAAGCTACACCTGGACTCGTCGGAAAACATCACACAAGCTCACTGTTGCGGTGTCCACAATGCATGCTCTCTACTCCAGGCTAACCGCAGGCGACAGAAAGTTGCAGTAAGTGGAACGCATCTGACAGGTCTACGAGCATATAGACCAATCTGCCCTAAGCGTCTGTACACGGTCTGCCTTGAAATTGTCGTACGAGTGGCTGAAGAGAGATGACGAGACAGGTCTGAGGCTGTGCTCCGACTGTTTCTTTTGGCAGTAACTGCCAAATACCGGTCCTCATTCGGCGTTGTAACTCTGGGGCGACCTATGTGTAACGTCTACTCACATTACCATCATCTTGGAATCGTTGCCAAAGCCTGGAGATGACACTGTGGGCAATTCCAAGTTCGTCTGATACTTCCAGTTGGGTACGCCCACATTCCAGACGGCCGATAATTCTAACCACGTAAAAAAATCATCAAATGCGTCCTTTGTGTCATAACTATTCGCACTGAAACAACTTACTTCTTCGCCTGTATTCCTTATATTTACTCCTTACACTCTCGTCATTGTACGTACCATCGGTGTCATCTGGGTACTTCTTGAAATTGCATATGATTCTTGAAGATGTGTGTAGTGATTTTAAGGGATATTTATTTTAGAGATGTAACAGACCTATTTAAGTGTAATTGAACTATTTATTCACGCCATGAACTCATGAAACTGTAACTATTATTTATTAAAAACCATCTCGTGGCGATATGAAAAACGTCAGTCGACCTCTAGCCGCCATGATAGTTTACTATGTTATGTTATTCAAATGTTTGATGTTCCATTTCGTATATGTTTCATTTTTATGTATATTTCTTTTTGTTTGTAACCGTTCCTGTGTGCTCTGTTAACAAATCCTTTTAAAGATAGCCGGCATTAGTGTCTATTGAGGAACGGCAACATCACATTGGCGCCCACGTAAATAGTCATTCGATTTTATTCATAATCATTTTCTTTCGCTTCAAGAAATATTTTTAAGACATGCATTCATTAAAGGAAACAATTATATTTACTTGAAGTAGTATATTATAATCATTTTCTCAAAATGTTCGTCGAAAGATAAATCAACGAGTACAATATTTTTTTTATGTAGAATAAAACATTTAATGAGGAACAACAGCACTCAAAGGAAATAAAAATAATAAAAGATTTGACGTAAACACATCATAAATTATCACTAGTCTAAACATTTCCGCGGGGGAAAAACATCTGCTGCTGTAAATCAGAAGCGAAACTAATAAATCCTAATGAACAACGTCCATGAATATATTCAAACTTTTACATCAAAACATGTATTTAGTGAAACAATATTATCCACAAATTAATTTAATATACGCATTAACATTTTAAAATAACAAATTACAGTTCAATAAATAACGTTTGGTTAACAGAAAGCCGTTTGCTTTCCTTTAATACTCTTATGTGTTATCAATAAATCAGATTTCAGTAAGGAATTTACATTTGCTTTAAGAAGCAGCTTATAATAAATAACCAGTTTAAAATAACTTTAAACTCAGATTAAACGATAATGTAAACGAACTTATCTCTTCCGTTGAAACTGTCCAGTTGATGATTCGATGTGCTAGCAGCACGGCATGACAATTTTAATTCCTAAATTGGTTTCCAGAATTTTTGACCAGCAGTCCACACCTGAAAAGAAACTGAGCCGATCTCCAGCAACTAAAAGTTAAATTCGGGAGTAAGGGCTTGTTAAAGCCAAACAGAAATTCTAAAAGTTTTATTGCGCCATTTTGGATTCAAATTTAGTTGGGCGCCAATGGCTACATTGCTAGCATCTGTGCGAATGATAAAAGGCTTCGTTCCATTAGCTTGCTTAAGAATCGGCGGGCTAATTATTTGGATTCAGCTCTTGGAATATTTCTGTGTGCTTCCCATTCCACAGCGCTTTTTCTTTTAAATCCGCAAGGTTGCTTTGAAAATTGGAATATATCGACAACCGGAACATTTACGAGATTGCCGCTTAACAATATCACACTGTCTTCAAAGTAGGGGGAGAAGCCACTAATCAAAAGCCATCTGGCTTACTTCAAACTCCAGTCTATGCTCAACGTTTTGAGACCTTGTCAATTGATCTTTTCGGTCCCCTTCCTGAAACACCGTCTGGTGAAAAATGGATTTTTATTGTGCAGGACTGTGCTACGAAGTGGACAGAACTATTTGCTTTAAAGGAAGCCACGGCCAGAGAATGTGCCACTATTCTTTTGGAGGAAGTCGCCCTTCGATTTGGGTTACCCAGGAAAATAATAAGTGATAATGGTACCCAGTTTACTAGTGCTGTTATGCAACAACTATGCTATATCTTGAACATTGATCAAAGTCTTACTCCTGTCTATCACCCACAATCTAACCCAGTTGAAAGGAAGAATAGAGATCTGAAACCACGTTTAGCAATACTTGTTGGTAACGACCATCAGTCATGGAAGGATAAACTGCCATTAATAAGGTTTGCTTTGAATACAGCCAAATGTGATTCAACTGGACATTCTGCTTGCTTTTCTTCAAAATTTGCCGAAACAGAAAGTTACGAAAACTGCTCATAGATGATAGTTACAAGTAAACTTTCGTGCAAATTCATATCAAGATCGAAATAAGCAAAACTCAGCTCGTGTAATTCCAGTGGTTCCCTTAAAGAAAAGAGGACGCCCGAAACGTGTAATACCATCCGAATCTGCACCTGTTGCACAAGGTGCTGGTGACGCTAAATCTACTGCTTCGTCAAACTGGAGCCCATTCCATCTGATTCTCCGCCCGCTGCACAAAGTAGACAAAATGTCAGTTCCTGACTTCTTGCCGAGACGTCTACGAAGTCAGAGGGGGAGGATGTAACAGACCTATTTAAGTGTAATTGAACTATTTTATTCACGCCATGAACTCATGAACTGTAACCGAACTATTTTATTTAAACGCCATCTCGTGGCGATATGAAAAAACGTCAGTCGACCTCCAGCCGCCATGATGATAGCTTACTATGTTATGTTATTCTCAATGTTTGATGTTCCATTTGGTATATGTTTCATCATTTTTATGTATATTTCTTTTGTTTGTAACCGTTCCTGTGTGCTCTGTTAATAAATCCTTTTAAAGCTAGCCGCCGGCATTAGTGTCTATTGAGGACGGCAACACACAGAGTCGATTTCCGCGTACCGGAATTATCCTTATTTTACTATTAAGGCACTAAAAAAAATGTAACATTTCTATATTATTAAATAATTAAACATTTTTTTCAATTAAGCAAAAAAAAAAAAGTCTGAGTGTTCAGATTAAATTACGTCCAAAGGGGCGTTTTCTTAACGTATTGTGTGTTACCTTTATTTATTAAATATCATGTTTTTTTGCACTTAAACCATAAAATTTAGTTCAATAGCAATGTCGCAAAATAATACTCAAATGAGCACATCTTTAGAATTTCCAGATACACAGTCTCGACACGCTGGAGATAAAAATAGGGTTTTTTCTTTCCCCCCTGTACAGTGTTGCCATTGCTCGCTTTGAAGTCCATGAGTTTGTTAATCAAAAATTCGTTAAAGGCTTTTACAAAATATGAAATAAGATAATAAAACAAATTCTAAATTTCAAATTTGAGATTTCCAGAGTGCGCATATTCGGGTGGAGGAAACGTACGTTATTCAAAAACTGGATGGCTCTAGGTACCGTTGTTTTTATCACAATGCAAAAAATATACATGCATTTATGCAGATTTTTCATTATTTAATTTCTTCAAATATGACGCAGGACTTTTGTGGCAACAGTTTGAACAATGAACCGACATTCATAGGAGTCCGAAGCAAAATGCCAAAACGAAATTAATAGTCGTTCTGGACTCAAATCCCTTTGGACTAATAAAGGTGCTATTATTAATCATTCTCTTTTATAACAAGATCAGTTTTCTGGTTTACTTACTCTAGTAACGTTAAATTTATAACTACGTACTTTTTCCATTATACAGAGCTTCAAATACTAAGTTTACGCATAAAGATGGACGTGAAAATTGTTTAACGCTTTGTGAGAAAGTTTTCACATTTATCCCTTTGACGCGCGGTGGTCGCGCCCTGAAACCACCATTTTCCGAATTTTTTTCTCCTCTTTTTTCCGAAATTTTTGAATGAAAATGAATTGATTACTGATCGATTACATCTAAATAACACAAAATGACTGTAGAATCATATATGTTTTAGGTATTAATACTTCAGATCGGTTGCCTTTTAAAATTATTTTTCGATGAGACAAAATAACTTCCTTTTATTAATATAAACAACTTTAAATTTCAAAAGTTAGTCATCGCGCATCATGATTTCTATCATAAGCAATAAAAAATTGCAGTAATTAAACTGCATATATAAAAAAAACCTCTATATGTATGGCATTTGCTATGTGGTTTCAGGGCGCGACCACTGCGCCACTAGAGTATTGTGTCCCAATGCTTACAATCCTCTAGAGTCTCGGTAGTCGCGCCTTGAAACCACTGGCGTTTGCTTCTCAATGGCGTTCGCTTGATTTTCAAATAGGAATGTTTATTTTTACCCGGGATAAGGGCTTTGAAACCACAGAGTTATTTTATTACTAAACAATACATGCACCTGCCCAGTAAAAAGGTCTTTCGTTTCCAAATACCTTTCTCTGACATCAACAGACTTGCTCCCCAAGCTAGTATTCTGATTTTATATATTATTTCCTGTTGTTTAAATTTAATGTAAATATACTTTGCTATTGCGTAAAAGTTTTATTTAAATTTAAAATATTTTCTGAATATTTTGGGACGAAATACGAATAAAATAAGTATGAATGAGAAACGAACTATCCGTACAAAGCCAAAAAGGCCAAGCCCCCCACCCCCCATTAACATAAAAAACCACAAATTTCATGTTCCAGATGAAAAGAAACTAAATAACGCGGACTATACACACAGGCAGTGTACATTTTGTAGCACAAGGAAGAAACCTCATAGAACAAGATGTATGTGCGAAACGTGCAGTGCGGGTCTATGCATGTGCCAAAAAGACAACACATGCTTTGAACAGTGTCACAAAAAAAATTGTTCTTTGAAATAAAAAAAAACTGAGTTCTTTTTTATCCTTATTTTATTGAGTTATTCATTTATCCAAATGTCCTTATTATGTAGGTACTTATATTTTCACTGCTATAGAAAAATTACATAAATGTTTATTTTTTACTTTTTTCTGACGATTTACTTTGTAAAATAATGTAAAAAAATTATATATAATACAATTCTTACATAATTTTTTTAAATCCGTAAATTTCGTCATTTATTGGAAACGCGCGCGGAAAATGGTAAGTTTTTTTTTTTCCCTGCTATATCAGTAAGTTTCAAAGTCCTATAGGCGCGGTGGTTTCACAGTGCGACCACCACCCACAGAACAATGGGAGAGAGAAGATTTTTTTTAATTCATACATTATTTGTCTCTAGGATCATAATATTCAATTTCTAGAGTTTTTAGTTAAAAAAATTATAAAAATAATATCGCGCGCGTCAAAGGGTTAAAGTGAATGGATACTTTCTCAGATTTGAATACTTCCAGGGTGATAAGTAAAATAAATATTTCTTAGATTAATTTTGAGCTGCTATGACCTTGAAACGATGTGATTTTATATTTCAAAATAAAGGAAAGTCTGTATATACACAGAAATATTTCGTATAGTATATTATAATACGAAAGAGATATACTGATTAAGTTTGCTGTAATATGATTCAAAAAGACAAATGGAACTTCCTTCATCAGCTAAGGGAGTGAAAACGCCGAGAAAGAAACAAGTACTTATGCCAGAACAACAGAGAACAATTCAAAAAAGTTCCCGCTAAAAGTAGAAATCGAAACACCTGACGCTTTCTATTATCAAAAAGTCACAGAAAAGCAAGTAGTAAAATAATTCTTGAAAGGCTGATGGTAAAGAACGCTTAGAATTTGGATTACTAACCAAACTAGGAAATATCATTATTGGCTGCATTATACCAGTTCTTTTGTGCGTTCGTTTGTTACATAAAAACGTTTGCTTCGGAATTTCTGACACGAAAGTTAAGCTTTGGCTCTCTTTAAATTATGCCAGTTTCCCTGAATATAAATGGCATGCATATTTAAGTAATGCATAAATAAGTGAATGTAATTCATAAATAAGAAATGTCCAATTATATCATTGATTCTTCTTCTGTTAACAACTAAATTTCTGTACTAGAGAACGATACCGCTATAATCCTCTTTTAATAACGATGCAAAAAATACGATTCATACCAATACATTTTTCAGTCTGACGTGGTATGGAACCCACATAGAAATTTTGAATAAAATATTAATTCTATCTCATTATAACAGCAACAATGGTACGTAGTTTTGAATGATTTTCGTCTTCCTAATCAAATGGTCGTAAAAGCTCAAGTTTCATCCAATATTTACTTACATTCAATTTTAGTCGATTAAATGTGGCAAAAAAATTTATCATAATTTATCAGAAAACAATACAAACAACAAACTCACACCACAAAGAGACATTCTTCTTTACGTGTATAGATTTTGTAAAACTTTAAAATGTTTTATTAACAAACTCTAGGATTTGAAAGAGAGTAGTAGCAACACTTTTCGAAAATAAAGCATTTTTATCTAAAACGCGCGAAACTGTTGCCACTCGGGAAAATGAGAGCAAAAATTTGCCCTTTCAGAGTTTTTAATTAGTATTTCGGCTGATTAAAGTTGTATGAAAATGAGGACAGTCGAAATGATTTCCCACGAATTTTTGGAATCGGGAATAATGTATTTAATATTTGGCAATGCTATTTTTATTTCATCGTGAAACTTAGAAATTTTTTATTAACAAACTCTAGGATTTGAAGCGAGCAGTGGCAACAACTTTCGAAATAAAGCAGATTTTCATCGCCAGCTTGATAGACTGTTGCCACTCGGAAAAATGAGGGCTAAAATTATCGTTTTTTCGAGTTTTTTATTAATATATCTGATTTTAGCTACTTGTTTTTTGAAAATAAGTGGACGTCAACCTTTTCCACGACCCAGAAAAGAATTGTAGAAAGTTTGGTGGCGATAGCTATAGTAGTGACTGAGTTATTTGAGGACAACCAAACACACAGACTTTCTTCTTTATATATACAGATAATATGCTTAATTGTATTGTGTGAAGTAGTTTCGATTTTCTGTAATGAAATCTTTTTTTTCGAAAAGGAGAAATTTTTAAATACTTCAATCAATGTTCAGTTATTATTTAGCATCTTCAAATGTCAGGAACATATTTCATACTGCCTGCTATTTCGAGGTACGTTTGATGTTTTACATGGAAATGGTTCGCAATAACAGTATGCGACATACTATATGCGGTGCCTGTAATATAGTGATAAACCTGTGATTGTCAGTGGGCGTAAATAAGCAGCTAACTTACTTTATCTCGGGGTGTACTCGGTGTCTGAGGCGAACTCACAGTAGTGGCGACGACATCAGAAGAGACACTTGAATTGTGAGGGCTTGATATTCCACCATTTAATCTTGCAACTAAATCATCTGAAGGCTTGGGAGAAATGCTTCCGCTGCAAGAACTGGAACGTAGCTTGCGAACCTGAGAGCTGCTAACTGTGCAGAGAAAAATTTAAATGCGGTTAATTTAGGTGGAGGTAATGCGGTTTTTTAGGTGGAGAAATTTATAATTTACACAAAATCATGAGGAATCACTTTTTTTGGAACACTTCCAGAAATTATCAATCAGATGTTTAAATTGTCCATACCAAAAACAGCGTAAATAGAAAGCAGAATTTTTTTTTAATATATATATATATATATAAATGGAACATAAACTAAAATTTTCGCGAAGTTTATGAAGACTTTCTGCGATTTTGCATGTACCGACTTTTCTGCTTACTTTAATTGATATCATTTTTTTTAGATTTTTTTGTATATTTAAGTAAATTTTAAACTACTTTCCTTTATAATTTTAATGAAAAAGCATTCCACAGTAATTCTTTGAGTTAACCTAAATTTTGCTGGACTCTGGAGTATGAGAAAACATCGTTGATATAAACCTTGGAGCACGCCATATAACAATCGGTAAAAAAGGCTAACGTTTTTATGGCAGTATACGGGTCTTCCGTCTGTCTATCTCTCCAGGAACATACAGTTAGTTCTCTGCTGTTATTTTCAGACGTAAAATAATCTGGGCTTAACACCTTATTTTGTCACAGATTCGTCAACAAATACTCAGCTCAAATGTTTAAATAAATAAAATCATTTATTATGCGAGTAATTTGAACCATACTTCGCAGCTTTGTAGAAACGTGGGGTACTACCGTTTAATTATCGTGTTATTATATATATATCATCGAAGGTATTCGTGTCCTTAAAATTTAAAATCTTAACGATTGCTAGAAATTTTTAATTTGTTATAGAAAGTTTTCAAGACTTGAAAATCAATTCAATAAAAGCGATACAAAATTTTGAAAACCACCGCATATATACACAATGTGTTTATGAATACTCAGCTAACAGGAAATTGTATTTGGTGCTTTATCAAGAATAAATTATTCTCGACAAGCACTGACACCTCGCGATAGTGACAAACGGAATTTATGCATGAAATCATTAACATCGAATAGAGATTTTATTCACTTGTCATATACCGGAAAGTCAGTTAGCACTGCAAATACAGGGTGCGACTCATAGAACTGGCTGGTAGTAATATCATGGTATATTGCGTTTTTCGCGACAATTAATTATTTTCAGCTTCCTACCAAAAGATGGAGTGTTGAGCCGGGGTCGGGACGATATAGGCATTCTGTACCGCGCCACGCACAGGGGGCGTGTGAGAAATCCGTACTTGTGGTTGGACATACTTTTCGATGACATCATTTTCCATTGGCATAATGACGTTTAGATGGGATTCATACGGTTTTGTTTTCGATATATGGCACGCATGAGTGATAAGGATGCGTGAAAATTATCGTTTGTTTTATTTCAAACAGAAAACTTTAACTGCAGCGTTCTGCAATGGCTTCCTATTTCATGGAATTATAAAACTTAAAATCTTTCAAAGATGATGTTAATATCAAAATTAATCTTAAGAGCTTAGATTATATAAATAGCTGAGTTCATGAATTTAGTGCAAAAACCAAAACACGACGATCTCGACCCAACTATAAAGCCATCGTATGCTGGTAAGTATATTGTTATTATTGCAATTTTGTTGCATTCTGTTCCTTTCAAAATGCTTCAAAAAATGTTTGAAAAGTGCATTCAGTATTGTCGTTGAATTTAATGCATGTGTATGAAAAAAGAAACTTTCTTCTCCGGCAAACACTACTTTTATCCAAATATATGATTATAAACTATTGTGAATTTGCTGTGCACTATGTTAGCTCCCAACGTCGTTTTTGGTATTTCTGTAAACTAACTTGTCTCATGCTTTCCAAGATTGCACCTGCAGATAATGGTTTGTTTTGGTTTACTTAATTATGGCAAAGCACACTAGGGCTATCTGCCTAAGGGGAGGAGTTCCATTGTGGAGGACTTTCTAAGGGAAACTGGCTAGTATACACGTTACACATGGGGAAAACCACGAAAACGCCCATGAAGCCAGCCCGTTCGCGGGATTCAAACCTCGGACCGAACTACCAATGTTCAGCGACCGCTCGGCCGCTGGTGGGCTTGCAGAGAATGGATATATAATGATAAATAATGAATTAATAACCACAACACTAATTTTAAATTAATAATACATTTATTAAAAGTCTCTGTACTTAATATTAATGCACATTTAAGGAGTAGCACACGAAGAAATAACACTTTTTCTCTCTAGGCGGAAAAAAACTACACACTTTATTCACCACACTACAGTATTGTAAAAATGTGTAATTACATAGCAGCAAAAATACAACGCACGTAATAATTTTTCGGTACAGCTATCACGATGTAACAAACGGTATCCTAAGCGTTAAGCATAGTGCAGACAATATAATGTAAATAATTAAAAACACAATTCTATTCAGTGCGATTTAAATATTACCATTACGCTTAATGTGACAAAATGCTTTCTCATATGACGCTATGAACCTTTCTAACCTCCTAACACAACGTTTGGCAGGCGAAAACATCCCGCAATAAAACGTCATGGAGAAAACAACGCAAGTAGAAAACGTCACCATACAAAACATTGTGGAAGAAAAGAAAGCAAGGAAAAAACATTGCAGTTTTAAATCACAGTGGTATAAAAATTTTCTAGAAAATAAAGCGATTAAAAAAATCGCGATTTTAAAACAACATCAGAAAATATTGAGGTAAAAATTATTACTGCAGCAATCTTGGCGCGATTAGGCGATTTTTTTACAGAAGAAAATAAGGGTGACTTATATTGCAAAAAGTTATTTATTACATACATAAATATTTTACTTTTAATTTAGATATTTATTCCTAAAATGAATGAATAAACCTGCTTATAAACGGGTTTGTGTTTCTGTTGTTTTGTCGTAAGTTTCGTGGTGATCGCTTTAAAAATCAAAGTAATTCCTGGATTTAATGATTTGGGGGGAAAACTACTGTATTACTGTAGAAAATTTACGTGGTATTTTTCATTGCATACAAGATTCACTAACGGTCAGTTTCAAATAGAGTTTGTGATTAAAAAAAAATAAATACATAAGAATCACTATTTTTTTAGAAATAGCTCTCGAACTTGCAGTTAAAAAAAGGGCACATGAAAATGGGGGTGTTACTTTTTAAATCCGAAAAATTGCTATGCGTACGGTTGTCTGAAAAACAACTTCTTTACGTTACTAGATTCTGGCACATTCTGAAAATTTTGCAACTCCTATTATAATAGTTGCGTTAATAAGTAAACATTTATTAAAAAATATTGAATTAGAAAACTAAAGCATGCACAGATCATCGCATAATGCACCGCAGATACGTATTTTTAGACATTAAAAGTTTTAAATGCTTGTTTACATAATGATTAATCTACTGTAAATTTCATTAATATACATATAATTACTCCTTTATTTGCTTAAATATTTTTGCGAAATATGTAAATGCAGATCCCCAGGGCGTCATTGGGCATTTAAACGTTTCTGAAAGTGGGCGGTAAACCAAACCCTTTCGAGAAAATTTAATCTAGACTGCCTTTTAAAGTTTCGAAAAATGAAGAATATTTACAAAACAGAACCAACGTCTGAATAGTTTTTTGAACTTTAAAGAGAAAGAAATTTTGTTTTACGAAGTTGATTGATTGAAATAGATAATGCCTCAGGTTCTACTCAAGCTATTTAATAACTTCTTAATATAGGTAATACCTCAGGTTCTACTTAAGCTTACAAATTTCTAACCATTACCTGTGCAAAAATATACAGATTAACACACAAAATCTAATTAAACTATTTTGTATAAAATTATTACACAAACAATTGACATGCAATAAAATATTATTAGGTAAAATCCTAGTATACGGTGCAGCCTTGGCGCAATTTTGAAAATTATCGCCAACACCAAAAATGACCCAAAGAACGTCTATATATATACTATACACTATATACTATGTGTGTATAAACATAGTATATACACTATATATATAGTGTATACTATGTATAACTTAATATTCTGAATGACTGTTTACTACTCATCGTATGTCGCGATAACTGCTCATCATAAAGTAGCCAAATCCCGTGTGCACCGGATACTAGGATTAAACCTATTATTAAATACACATATTTAAAATTACACGAGAGGGGTATAAAACATTTATAATAAATAATAAAATATAAATGATTAAAAGCTAGATCGCTATAATCCCTAATAAATGAAAACTATATAGAATAAACTAAAAGTACATGCCATATAAATATGTATTTTACAATATGATAGTTGGTCGAAAGGATTACCTGAAACGATGGTTTAAAACAATTGAAGTACACTTGTAGCTATGTACTTTCAATTAAAATTATAAGCATTGCTCTAATAATGCACTTAAAATTTGTGTACAATCTGGGATGCGTTACACAAGTAGTACCAGTTATAAGCAGTAGAACTAACCAATCAAGATAACATAATAGTTAAATGGAAGGATATTAGATCAGTAGAATAGGAAAGATCATATCTCATGATACTGTATTCAGGAATTTTCTATACCGAAAAACGTTTACTCACTTTCAAAAAGATTAATTTCCTTGGTTCATTCGACGAAACCTTGCCAACAAATACTTGGTGTCAAAATGGTTACGCGCTTTATCCACGCGGATATGAGTTTTGAAACTGATCCTAAAATCGATCTGCCTCTCAACGGATCCCCCTCTCGACGTAATTAGAAATGATGAAGCAGTTCCGGAGGCAACGGCTTCTCTGTAGAGCGTTGTTTCAAACTGATTGCATTCTAGCTTCCTACCTTTTCAATGGCTATAAAATTTGCCACCACAGCTACTATTTTCCATCTATATATAAAGTTTCATTGTGGTAACTGAATGCCACGTAAGACAAACTAGCTGAAAGATAAATTATAATCAGGATAACGGATATTAATTGTTCCCCTCCAAAAAGGTAATAGCGGTTTATATTTGTAATACCCTCAAACCCAATTTAAACGAACTTCGTTCAACAAAAGCCTGCTGAACTCATACGATGGAAGAAACAACACTGAACCAGTGAGTCAGAATATGACAATTAAATTTTACTAAAAATTAAGCATAATTTGAACATCCTTCTTTCTTAGCTTTGAATCAGATTATATATATATTAGCTTAAACTAGAAAGGTATTTCAATTAAAGTATCCACATGAGAATTTAAAAGCTACCCGAAGGTTGACTGCACCGCATGACCTCTTGCCTGAAGAGCTAAAGGTCGGTCATAAAATAAACCTTCCCCACATATGAACCCCTAGCGGCCATATATTGGGAAATTATATTGGAATTATAAATTTTCAAGGTGTACAAAGTTTCAGGATAGAGCCATCACCGTACCTTTGCACTTTCGTGGCCACCACGAACTCCCGACCTCACTCCGATAGATTTTTGCTTCTGGGATGATCTGAAATCTAAGGTGTATACATCAGATCCATGAGATTTGTAAGAATTAAAAGACTCCATAAAACGTGCAGTTATACAGACTCCTCTTGCGATATTATGTTCGTCGTTGTTGTCAACAACCTCACGCATGCAGAACATTATCGCCTGCGAAGACAGGCACGTCGAAAACTTGTAATTCCGATAAAAGATGTTTCCCTCTGCTTCCCTTGTGTTGCTACTGCTCCTTTACAATGCTCTTCTTTGCAAAGATTTTAAGTCGAAACTTTTTGTCGTACGAGTATGGTTCCAACGTCATTTATGCTTCCTCAGTGCGTTCCGTAATCAATTTGAGCAGAAAAAAGGTGGTTGTTGCCATTAATAAATTTCGATTTTTTTTACTGTAATTGTAACCGTGAGAGATCTATTGTTTTAAATCATCACAATCCTAGTGACATACTTTCAAATTACAACACCTGAAATGTCATAGGTTTAATGCTAGTATATGGTACACACGAGATTTGGCAACTTCTGGCGACGTTATAATGAGCAGTAAACAATTTATTTTCGTGTTGGCGACAATTTTCAAAATCGCGCCAAGGCCGTACGATGTACTAGGATTTTACCATTTCATTTCCATTGGTTGAACAGATAGGCCGCTACGGGTTCATATATAAGGGAAACGTTTTATGACCCTCCTGTATTTGGTGCCTATTATTAGCCGTATGTCAGAGGCTGTAGGTCCGCCGCCATCCAAAATTAGTAAAGTCTCCGTACTACAATGATCAACTAAGGAGAAAGCCAACGATTTTATTTTATAGAATCTGATTTTGGATATTTTTATATTTCAAAAGGGTACCTAGTAGACCGTAGTTGTTTTCCATTACGTGATCGACTTTTAGTTTTGTATATTCTTTGTTAATAGTAATCCACCAGAAACAGTCCAGTTGCATTTTTAATCTGAGTTTGCTTAAACTTACTGTCCATAGTTAACAGCTTGCCGATGTTACAAAGAAATTTTTAGCGAAGGAGAACATACATTTAGGTATTATATCTACAAGGAATTCATTCAGCTCCAATTATTTTTTAAGTAATATTTTTCTTTTCCTCATTCTTCAGAAATTAATGCATAGCTTCTCTATTATTAAATACTAATCTAAAAACTAGTATGAAAAATTTTCATGTTTGTACGTCGAATTGTGAAAAGACGTTAGGATCTAAAGCAACCAGAATTCTAATACATATTATCCTGCATCCAAGCACGTGCACCTCGATGCCCGAATTTTGAAATTGCAATTTATTTTTGTGGGAATTTAAAGAATTATATTAACAACAATGATTCATTTTTGATTATTTTCCGCTTATTAAAAGCTAAGTATCGCTACAGCTCGAAATAACACTTCTATCTTCCACGCGCCAAAGTGTTGCTTCTCGACAAATTGTAAAATATTATTTGTTTTAAACTTAATAAATTCAGCTTCTTAAAATCAATGCATTGCCACTGACCGAAATAAAATATTTTATTTTCCAAGAGCTAGCGAGCGCTCTATTGATCGGCAGAGTTAATAATTAAATTATCTTTCAAATTTAGTCTGTCTGCTAATAAACTAAGTGATTTAAAAGTAATATTATACGTTTCGTAAAAGTACCTTTTTTAATTTTTTTTTACTTTTTCAGAAATATGTTTGCTTTAGTTACATAAAAATACATTTAATTCATGATATATGTAATTAATAATTTTTATTAACATTTGCAGGATTTTTTTTAAAATTTACAAAAGATTTCTCTAACAATGTATGGTATGTAATTTGATACAAAAAACGTTTTTTCCTATTTTTATGGCCTTTTACGTTTTTAAAAGTAAATCTTTAAATTTTTAGTCAAAGTCTTTATTATTCATTATGTTTATCTAAGCATTCTATCCTATATCTTGCAATATCATTGTTTTTTTGGTGTTCATGGGGAAACATTCGCCGGGTTTCGTTTCATACGTACACAAAATAAATGAATTTTACAACAGAAATAATATAAATGATATTTGCTACAGGACAACTACTGTGTCCCCTATCATAGAAGTTTTCACGAGGAGCAAAGGTGTTCAGAAGACTCGCGCCAAAAACATCGCTGACGAAAACATCGAGGAGAAAACAACGCAAGTCGAAAACGTGGTGGTACAAAATATCGTGGGAGAAAAGAAAGCAAAGAGAAAACATCGCAGTTCTATAACATCGTGGTACAAAATATCGTAGTCGAAAATAAAACGATTCAAAAACTTCGCAATTTAAGAACATCTTCGTCGAATATGTGGTAAAAAATAAAGTACCTACAAATAATTGCATAACGATAACATTGCCGGTATGCGTTTTTCAGGTTTTAAAAACTATCCATTTTCGCATAATGATTTGAAAACGCAAGAAGGAAAGAGGGATATTTCTACTTTTATCTTTCATATTTTTGAATGAACTTATAAATTTTTGCTGAAAAAGTAAGACGGAACCTTAAGCATTTAAAAGTTTAAAAGGAGGAGAAAAGTAATGCAACGTATATCACTTAGTATAATTTTAAATTTACATAGTTAATTCACAATGGTAATTAATAAATTAATCTTTTTTATAAAGTTTTACTCCTAATTTTTCATGAAAAATACAGCCTAAATTTGCTTAGAAAAATAAACTGCAATAACTGCATGAGGTTACCTCCGTAAAAATTACTTAGTTAATTATCAGATTATTTTCTTTCACATTTGTTAACCTGGTTTTGGTTTGGTGGAAATTAGGTTTGATCCTAGTATCCGGTGCACAAGGGATTTGGCTACTTTTGGCGAATTTATAAGTAGTAAACGGGACATACACATGAGTAGTTAAACGGTCATTTTGGTGTTGGTGATAATTTTCAAAATTGCGCCAAAGCTGCACCGTATACTAGGATTTTACCGGAAATTATATATTGTTTTGTTTCCGTTTACTCTCAAAGAGTCGCTAACATTTCTTAAGCTTCCAAACCTTTGTGCGAATATGCACTTACAACTTTTAAAACCTGGAATTCGCATGTGTGCGATGTTATCATCACGCGATGATTTGTAGGAGTTTTAGTTTTTAACAAGATATTTTGGACGGCGATGATTTTAAACTCCTAAGTTTTTGAACCACTTTATTTTCGAGGACATTTTTAACCACTATGTTTTAGAACTGCGATGTTTTAACTTTGCTTTTTTCTTCTACAATTATGTTTTGTACCACAACGTTTTCGCCTTACGTTGTTTCCTCCGCGATGTTTTCGGCTGTAATCGGAGCAAAAGCAAAAATATTGAAATAGTCAACATTTGAATAACATTAGCACTGCCAATATATATACAAAAAATGGAGTAACATAGCAATATAAATATAGTTAAAAAGATGAGAAGAAAAGAAATAGTTTCATCTATATTTAACTAATGTATTTAATTGTAAGTTGTTAATTTAATTGTAAACAATAAAATGTATTAATGCATTGAAAAGTAAAATACTTTCAGAATGTTCTGAAATCCAAATTCTAACACCTAGAGCAGGGGTCTCAACCGGTGGTACGCAAGAGAAAAATACGCAAAGATGCAAAATATTTTTAAGTATTAAATTCAAAAATTAAAACGCTAACATCCTGATTGAGGTTTTTCTCTAACACTCGTATATTTATGCGATCTGAGCTTTGTTCAAGAGTACTTTGTAGTGGTGGTACTAAAGTTGTTCAATTTTTGTTTAGATGGTACGCGTTAGTCAAAAGGTTGAGACCACTGATCTAGAGCTTAAATCTTACCATCTGGAGAACCTGTAACTGTCTGCCCGGTTTCGGTTGTCTTGGAGCCGTTGTTGGACGTCCGAGGCTGCATTCGCGGCGCAGGACTTGGCATAGTCTGTGTGAAAGAAATATATTATTAAAGTTCGCACATAAACATGCATAGCATATACTGAACGTGAGGAACAATTCGAATTCTACAAAACATGCTCTGCTTAGTTACTTAGTGATTTTAGGAAAGCATAATGCAAAACTAAACCGTAATTAATCTGAAATGAGGTACATTGGAAATTCGATTATCTGTCAGTCTCTGAATCGCCTTTGGATAGGAAAACAGATGAATAATAGCGAAAACTGCAGCTCCCTCCATTACCAAAAACAGATGCCCGCAGCCCATAACGAATATCCATTTTTAGCCTGGTGTTAGTGTATAAAAATAAAGGCAAGAAACTCGAAATTCATCACATAATGTGACTCTTTATATCACTTATCTATACTTGCACCAGAGGTGCTATTAGTGTTGATGCTCACTCTTGATCCATATCAATTTTCAAATGATAGGATGCTCCCACCAAATGCTGTTGCTCTGCCTTATGTTTACTAAATAAAATAGCGAATGTAAAAAAACATATATGGAAGTACAAATAAAAGACTGCTACCAACAAATGTTATCACCATGCATTATATTTAAAAAAATAATGGGTAATTTTCCGTTTTGCCGGCGCAAGCGATAAAGTCGCCGATAATGGTACAACGATGCCAAACTGAATATCTCGCTGGTCCCTTTTATCGCCTCATTTTCAACATCGCAGCTTTTTCTTATCATTGATTTTCTTTTCAGTGCTTCATATATTACATAGAATTTTATCAGATAGTTCATTTTATGTCTAAGGCATTTTTGTATAGTCAATTGGATGCATCACACGCTTAACCCGCAGCCGAAATATAGAAGGAAGTCAAGGGAAATCTTCTAATGAGAATGCATTGGAAGTTAAGAACGCGTTTAACATATTTTCTGAGTAGCTTTCGTACGCATTGAAATATTTCTTGCATTTAAACTTGTGTTCCAAATAAGATTTAACTTGAATAATGTAGATATTCTGAGAGCATTATTTTTCTAGAGTAGTTTACGTTATGAGATCGTTGGTGCACGTGATAGAACCTGCGATTGTATGTTAACCATGAAGCATAGTAATTCTTAATTAATGTCTTTTTACAATTTATTGTCTTATTTATGGCTTTTTAAAGTTTTAAACGATATTAAATGTTTATGCCTTCAAACGAATTCTTAACTAAAATTTTTTAATATTTTTTATTGTATACTGTTTGTTGTCGCCAATAAAGTCTGCTTGGCGAGATTTGCGCCGGCGAAACGGAAAAGTACCAAATAATGTATCGAATATATAAATAAAAATGTTTGACAACGCTTAACATTCTATCGGGAATTCTAAAGATTCGCTGAATTTAAATATTTTGTGGTTTTTATTTCCTCTAAGTGCGAAGAAAGTGATGTTATTTTACGTCATTTAAGTGCGAAGAAAGTGATGTTTAGTAAATAAAATTTAAAATACAAAATGTTAATTATAAAAATTCAAAATAAAGTTGTGTAAATTATCTTACTAATAAAACTAAACAATGATATGATGAACTGAGAAAAGACTGAAATATTTGATTTGATGTTTGGTTTTTTTTTTTTTTTTTTTTTTTTTTTTTTTTTTTTTTTATTATGGCAAAGCTTACCAGCGCTATTTGTCTAAGAACAGGGATACTTTCGTAAAGGACTTTCTAAGGGAAATTGGCTCGTACACACGCAACACATGGGCAAAACCAAGAAAACGTCCAAGCAGCCAGCCCGTTTGCCTAGATTCGAATCCCGGACCGAACTGCCAGTGTTCAGCGACTTTACTGCTCGGCCTCTCGTGTTGCCGACTAACATCAAATGGCAATACTTAACGCTGTTTCGGAAATTCTAAAAATGTGCTGCTTTTACAAATTTTGTGATTTTACTCTTGAATTTTATGAAGCGTTAGGATGCTTAATAATAAAGTTAAAAAGACAAAAAAAATTGTGTTAGCAAGAGCGAATCCAAGAACAGATTGGTAATTTGCGAGCTCATCGACAGTGTATATAACGTAACAAGCCCAGTGGTAATACGTTAAATAAGAATCTTTTCATATTTCTTTAATGCACAGTTGAAACATATACTAGTTAAAAACACGCCGTTGTCTAATACAAATTTCTGGCAAAACAGCAATTTCAGAGTGACGTAGATTTTGAATCTAGTTCTATCAATTCTGCGGACACTCCATTTTAAACTCCTACTAGTTACAAAATTGCTCGAATTTTTAATTAGCTGAAATTACTGACATGTAAGAACATAATGCCCTGAAAATTAAACTTCAGGGTCATTTGCTCTTATATTAATGAAATTCTTATGTCGATTATTCGAGATCTGAACTCTGATTGTATTTCTTGGGGAGTCTGTAACTGAAAACTTGCCTTTTTTACATAATAACATTTATTTCCATCTAATTCTTCACAATGTTTTAAAATTTTCATCTTATCCTATTAAACATTCATTGTTATTTTCCACAACACATGACTCTGAGCTCATTTTTTATTTTTCCATTCTTTTGAATCTCCCCCCCCCTCCAAAAAAAATTTGATGGTTGTTCCGTTTGCCTTCTAATTTTTTTTATTTTCTCTAAAAGAAGAGAGACCTATATCTGGCCACTGATTTTTGGTATTATTTTTAGCTAATCATGTTTGAAAATATTTGACTAGGAACCTTAACTTTGGAGAACATCAAACCGTGATCAGAATCCTAATGGTTTATTTAACAGCGAAAACTTTTCAAGGATGAAACCCTAAAATCCAAAGTAAACATAGCATCTTAGAAGTACACTTCATGTTAAGTTAAACTCTCAGGAAATGCTCGTTTTTAACTGATAGCTTCTCAGCAACTAGGGAAAAGATCACATCGTGCATAGATCCAAGAACTACTTGGTTTCCCTGATATGAATCGCCATTAGATTAGACTCTACTGCCGCTCTTACAGAACCATTGGTCATCTGGAGTTGAATCGGACTGGATTGGAGGCTGGAATCTATCCATTCGGCAAACATCCCTTCAGAGCCCCTTCGGCAGTTTTGCTTCGCCGTGAACCAATCGAATTGAACTGCTCTTCTGCGAGTGTAACTTCACCTTTCATCAACGGCGGTTGCCGTTACTAGAGCCAATCATACACATATTTAACAGTGTATATATACAGACTGAAGCACATGTGCATTCCAATAGGTATATATTAACTGTTGAGCTTCAGCTTCACGTTGAAGGAAGAACACCCCTCGAAATTGGAGCAGTACGAGGGTCTCCAACACCTTCTTCTCTACCTCGAGAGTGCTTTCGGCTCAACGTGTATTTTGAATGCCTCCTTGCTCACAGGAAATATACGCTTACAAACAACTATTCCTGAAATTAATGGTTCCTTAAATCCGAATCTTGGAGAGCCGGATTCGGGCTTGGGCCCATCGGTACGACATTCAGCTTCACTAACAACAAGGTGGGCCAAGATAAACAAGAGAAACATAGCAGGGAAGAAACTGAAAACCGTTAGTATATTCAAAGGAAGCAGCACCCTTCTTCTTGGAAACAGTGCACTCAGTTTTCACAGCTGAAAGTCTGACAGGACTGTCGAAGGAATGGCCTTTACGGTTACCAAATACAGTCACTATCTATTTTTATTTATATTGCAACTCGAAAGGCAAGATCTACCAGAACAATCGACGAACTCTTAACTCACTGGAACAGAATATACGCAATACCATCACCGACATCCAACTAGACGGTTTACAGCAAGTCGCATTAAACATGACTCATAGGGCCAAACAGTGCTTGGACTATGAATTTCAATATTTCCTCCAATACTTGTGGAGACGAAGCAACCCACGTAAATAGGTTTTTTTACTTTCATATAATAGTACAACAACTCCTCACAGGCCATGGTGTTCACCATTTGCTTTAGTTCGACTTATAGGTCATTTTTAACGGTAATTATTTTCTCAGCAGTTGTGACAACACATTAGTCATATTCTTAAAAACAGGATTTTTAATTATGTGACAAAAAGGCTTATTTTATTGCATAAAATATTCTATTTTTAATTTTAATTTTTTATTGATTTTTTATAATTTGTATTTCATTTTTTAAAATTTATTGTGCATTAGTTCAACATATTGAACTGTTTCAATGCTGACAGATAGAAGAAATTGACCGTTTAAAGATTCGTGGACAGTCGTTTTTGAACAATAAATTGCGTTTTTAAAAATATCGCGAACATCCGACACAAATGTTTTGATGCAAAAAGTGGTACTTTAAAAAGTTGAAAGAATGAATACACTCATGATCACCCTAATAATCTATTTATAGTAATCTATTTTCTCATTTTTTTAAGTCATGAAAAATAATCGCATCATTTACTGAAAATATCCGCAATATTTCAACGCAGCACATAATCGTTATAAGAAATCTTAACATCTCTGAGTATTTATTTTTCCTTTGCTTAAGCTAGTTCGGCTTTCTCATGCTCTAATCCTTTTTCTACTTTCGCAAAAGCATTTAATTTCAATCATCATTCTTTAATTACTTTTTTATAAATCTCTATTTTTAGGATTCAAGTATTTTCGATTTTTAATGTTTTATTATTCTTTCTAAGACCTTCTTTTTGGAAAACTTCCAGGAAATCCTTCCTTAGCCATTTCTCGTTTTGTTGTTGCACGTAAAAATGCCGTTCTTTTTTTTAGGAATACTATTAAGCAGAGCCAGATACTTAGTTACTCTGAATGCTAAGAGAAGACAACGTGCTCACTTAAATTTTTCTGTCGTTGCTTGCTTCTTTCTTAGTATAATTTGTTTGAGGAGTGTGTCTTAAGTCCTTTTTTGCTCAATTCACAGTGTAAATACTTATTTAAAGTGATATTTATTTATTTATGTTATATAAAAGATATGAGTGCTGCAGTGCTGATTTGAAAATATGTTTGTTGTAGCTTGACTTCAAAATTAATAGACGTATAAAGCAATTAAATTCTTGCATTTTTTTCACCCTTACTCATGCTTATGATATCGCTTGAGACATGCCCTTCAAATTTTCTTTCTTCAAAACTATTCCTTTATTTTTCAGAACCCGGCTAATTTTTTTGACTAAAGAAGGCTAGTTTCAGCCCAGTATCTTCGTTCAGTACATCTACTCAAATAGCACACCTGCAAAAATATACGTACAATTTTGGGAACATAAATTTTGGGTACACTGTGTTTTTCCATGTTGTTTTCTCATTTCGTGTTATTTGACATTTTTCGTTATTTTAAAGTGATGCTAATTATACAATGACAGATTAAAATTCTA